GCAACCGTTGTCATAGAAACGAAGCTGTCGAGGAGGGTAGCCCCTCCTCCAGCCCTCCCCTCTGCGGTGGTGGATTCTCTCACGTGACCCCGTGAAGTTCTACCTACATAGAAGTATCCGCTGACTTTAACGTGACACAGGGAAATAGTGTTTAGAAACATAGCTAACTCCTCTCGAAAGCTGGCATACGCTGAATGACAGAAACCTTTTGATATTAGTATATAACCCAGCCCATGACAGGATGAAAATGTAACAAGGATTCGTTTATTATTAATATATAGCTTCTTGAGTGAAAGATAGCTTTCACTATGTAAAAAGCGCTCAATGATCGACAAATATATTCACTTCAACCCTGAAACACAGGCTGCAGGTATGTGTGCAACTTCCCAAAATAACGCAGAAGCCCCAGAGCTGTGACAAGCCGCCTCCGGCGTGGCTTTTTCCATGACACACTTTCGTAAATCATGAAGCCAAATACGAAGGGTGGGGTGAAAAGGGCAGGGCGGAGGTTTTAACTACTAGGCGCTAAGCTAGCTACGTGCGCTTTGAGATATACAAAGGAGGACTGATTTTAGAAGCTCCTAGACATAATTTGATTCTCAGATCTGCTTCTGGCAAGTTAACTTTTGTCAGCTCCAGGTTTCTCACAGTAAAACATAAGAGATAATATTACTTATCCTTACAGAATTATCCTAAGGAAGAAGCGAAATGAAATATCTGTCCTTTAAATGTTAGTGTTCCCCAGGGACTCCTTCCTAAACTTTGTCCCAGGGAGATCTTATGCATTTCCACTGTTTCTATTACCCGTGCTGCTTACTTCTAAAACTTGCTCTCCAGGCTGGATGACTCTCTGGAGTTCCAGACTGTAATATCCATTTCCCAACTGGAATCGCCACACCTAACTGTTACACTAGGGGTGCCTGGGTGGCTCATTCCTTTAAGCATCGGACTTTCAGCTCAGGTCATGATCTAATAGTTCAGGAGCCCCACATATTGCTCTGCCCTGATAGCTCTGAGCTTCAGATTCTCTATCTCCCAACCTCTCTCCCTTTCTCCCTCTCTTGCTGCCCCTCCCTTGCTCAAGGTCTCTCTTTCAAAAATAAATAAATAAACATTTACAAAATAATGAATGTTCCACCATATGTTTAAGTTGGAAACCATTCTTTTCCTCTTCACATGCCCCACCCTCCCAACCACACATTAGTTCTTATGTTCTGCATCTCTGTATGTTCACCACTATCGGAGCTGCTGATTTCTTGCACTCACTGTCTTCCTCTCATCCTTAAATGTAAAACCAAGTACTGACCAATCCATCTCCTAAATAGCTGACACTTGTCTACTTCTCATCTCCAGTAGTTTAGACCAACCACCATCTGAATTACTTTTAATAGGTTACCTTGCTGCCAGTCTGCTTCCTACCAGTGCATTTTCCACAACACTTCAAATGACTCGTTCACTCATTCAATAAATATTTAAAGTGTCTATTAATTTGCCAGACACTGTTCTAGGCGCTGGGAATTCAGCAGTTAAAAACAGACAAAAAATCTCTGTCCCAGTATAGGGAAAGACATTATATGTTAAATAAACTATATAGTAATGTCAGAGGATGTGTGGGATGGAAACAAAAGAGGAGATAAGGAGTGTTAGCCGGTGAGGCAAGGTTGCTATTTTTAAACAGAAAATGCTCTTTTTGAGGACTGTCATTTGAGTAAAGATCTGAAGGTAAGAGGGTGAGCCATGAAGACATTAGGGGAAGTATATCCCAGAGGAATAACAAAAACAAAAGCTTTGACACAGAAGTGTGCCTGATGTGTTCAGAGAACAAGGAGACCTCTTATCTGGAAACAGAGAGAATGGAGAGGGCTGTAGGAACAGAAGTCAGAGAAGTAATGTGGGCCCTATTCCTTGGGGTTTGTAAGGCCATTTATAGGAACTTTGGATATTCTGAGATGGGAGCCATTGGATGGTTTTGAAGGAGTGACAGAATCCAATTTATAAGATTATTCTTTTTTAATGCTTATTTTGAGAGAGAGAGCATGAGCGGGGGAGGGGCAGAGAGAGAAGAAGAGAGAATCCTAAGCAGGCTCCAAACTGTTGGCATTGAGCCCACCTTGCGGCTGGATCTCACAAACCAGGAGATCATGACCTGAGCCGAAATCAAAAGTCCAGTGCTCAACAAGCGAGCCACCTAGGCGCCCCTAGAGAATTATTCTGAAGACAGTTGAAGGGGGGGACAGAGAAAATGCAGGGAGACTGGTGAGGAAACTACTGTAATAATCATAGTAGTTGCTCAGTACCTATCTGTTCATGAAAAGTAAAGTGATTAGAGGGGCGCCTAGGTAGTTCAGTCAGTTAAGCGTTGGACTTTGGCTCGGGTCATGATCTCACCATTTGTGAGTTGGAGCCCCACATCAGGCTCTCTGCTGGCAGCTTGGAGCATTCTTGAATCCTCAGTCTCCTTTGCTCTCTGCCCCTCCCCCAATTGCACTCACACATTCTCAAAAATGAACACTAAAAAAAAAAAACGAAGAAAGCAATTGGCACGGATAATAATTGTAGCTAACTAATCACTCCCTATGACCCAAATAGCATTCTATGTATTAAAATCATCTAATCCTCAAAACTAATATTGCACTGTATGTTAACTAGCTGGAATTTAAATAAAAATTTGAAAAAAATAATCTAATCCTCAAAACAACTCTGTGAGATACTATTATTTATTCCCATTCTGCACAATAGGAATTGAGGTCCAAGAGATTAATAATTTACCAAATATATATATATGATTTACCATATCATATAATATATATTATGATTTTATATATATATAAAATATATATAATTTACCATATATATCTGTAGGCAGTTTTGCTCCAGACCCCACACTTTTTTTTTAAGAGAGAGCAATAGCAAGTGAACATGAACCAGGTGCGTGGGCGGGGGGGAGGTACATAGAGAATCTTCAGCAGGTTCCACACCTGAGGCGGGGCTTGACCTTACAACCCTGAGATCATGACCTGAGCTGAAATCAAAAGTCAGATGCTTAACCCACTAAGTCACCCAGGCGCCCCTTAAAATCAAGGGGTTGGGAAGGCCATGCTCTCTCAATACTTTTTTAAGTAGTGCCACACCCAGCGCAGAGCCCAACAAGGCCTAGAACTCATAACTCTGAGATCGAGAACTGAGGTGAAGCATGGGACACTTAACCAACTAAGCTACCCAGGCAACCCCTCCAGAGCCCACATTCTTCAATTTGTATGCTATTTTGCTCTAGTAGGAGCTCAGTAAATAATCCTCCAACACAGGGTGCTGACCTCTAAACATCTAACTGGAAGAACACTCAGCTGAAAACTAAAATGGAGATTTTTATAAAAACCTTAACACAGATGCAGTAAAAAATACAAACCTAAGACTACGAAACTTGTAATAGAACTCTGGATGCCATTTGGGAAGCATCTTTCCTTTCTTGGCCTTCTTTTTATATCTAATTATCAACTTTCATTAAATACAGGAGGGAAAAGGTGCATCAGCAAACTTCAGAGTGTGGCAGAATCTATAGAACAAATGGTCTGGCTTCTTCAAAAAACAAGTTGCAAGGCTAGGAATTCCTCTTGTATTGTGGAGTTTGCCAATATATAAAAAAACTACATATAAAATACAATTTTAAAACTAAATATGCACTTACCTTTTGGCCCAGCCAGCCCATTTCCAGGAATATACCCTAAAGACATAACTCCAACAATATTAAAATACTATATACCAGGTTTCTCACTGTAGCATTGTTTGTTAACTGCAAAATACTGCAAACAATCGATGCGCCCATAAGAAAATGGTCAAGTAAACAATGGTACTCCACACAGTGGAGTACAATGCAGTTATGAAACAAAAAAGTTTTCTACGAACTGATGTAGAGTATTTCCAGGATACGCCATCAAGAGAAAAAGCAAAGCAAAAAAAAAAAAAAAAAAAAAGAAAAGAAAAAAAGAAAAGCACCAAGAAGTATCTATAGAATATCCTTCCTGTTGATACTCTGGTTTTGATCCTTATACAATGGTTATGTAAAATGTTAACATTGGGGGAAACAATTATTCTAAGGAATAAAATTAATGATTTGGCCTTTAAATGTTAATGTTCCTCAGGATTGCTTCTTAAGCTTTGTCCCAGAAAAGTCTTATGCATTTCCAGGTAACAGACAAATAGACAAAGATTTATACAAGGTCATAAATTTTAATTATTGATCGACAATAGTGAAAAATATAAAGAACATGGCCACAAAGAGCCCTGGTTAAATATATGTTGGCATATCCATTCTATACTATGTGCCATGTAATCATCAAAAATGCAAGATTGACGGGTACCTGGGTGGCTCAGTCGGTTATGTCCGACTTTGGCTCATCAGGTCACGATCTTGTGGTTCGTGAGTTTGAACCCCATATTAGGCTCTGTGCTGACAGCTCAGAGCCTGGAGTCTGCTTGTGATTCTGTGTCTCCCTCTCTCTCTGTCCTTCCCCTCCTAGCGCTCTATCAAAAATAAATTATTTTTAAAAAGTAAGATTGGGGCACCTTGGTGGCTCAGTCTGTTAAGCAACTGACTCTAAATTTCAGCTCAGGTAACAATCTCATGGTTCGTGAGATCGAATCCCATGTCGGGACTCTGCACTGGTAGTTCAGAGCTTGTTTGGGACTCTCTCTGACCCTACCCTGCTTGCATGCACAGGTGTGCTCTCTCTCAAAATAAATAAATGTTAAAAAAATGTTGTGAAATCTGTACCTACAGAAAGGCATGCACACGCTGAGTGAAAAAGTGATTCACAAAACTGAATTATTCACATTTTGTAAATGAATTGTTTGAAGAGAGGCTCACAAAAAAGGTTAGCTGTGGAGTGACTATTACCTATTTTTTCTCCTATGTTTGGATTTTTTCACTCATAATTTATTACTTTTAAAATAAAAATTTCAAGCTATTCTCATTTTTAGGAAAAAAGCCACCAAAAACTTAAAATAGTAAATACTAATATCTTTATTCTGGCATAAAGCAGTATTTTATACATTAACTCAATTTTACAGAAAAGGTATTTTATGTACAATTGTAAAGAAACTGCTGCACAGATAACTCCAATGTAAAAATGGATTGTATTTTAAAAGTTCAGTGAGTTTGATACATTGGAAAATATTTTCTCTGTAGAAAATAGTAAAAACCGTAACACTTCCCAGGCTAGCCTAACAAGCCCATTTAAATCAAATGGCTGGATTATATATTTATAAAGATGGTTTAAATTCTGGGATTCAGGAGAAACTTTAGCTTCATGTATTGAAACAGCCATGTTTTCCTTAAAATTAAGTTGTGTCAAGTGAAATTCCAACTAATCTTCCCCCTTACTCCTGATTTATGCTTGATTATTTTTCTGTAGGCTAATCACATCAAGATTTTAACTGCTCTTCCCTAAAGGACAGGTAGTGTGTCCTTTCAATGTGCTTGATTGATATTTTTGGTTGATATTAAAATATGCTCAGCATGTGAGCAAAACTGAAATCTAATAAGTTACAATCTACAAGGCACAGGAGTCGTCTGTCATCAAACACCTTCTCCTGAATCCCTTGTGGCTTGATGGGAAGCCATGAGGAGTGGGAGGAAGATGGTAAAATTGACAAGAGGATCAAGAAATAAAAGCCAAGAGAATTGCTGAGAACAGAGAAACATCCAGTTAGGACTGAAGGACAGAACTGAAGTCCAAACAGAGAAAGGACACATTGCCTCAAGCATCTCAGAGTTGGCTGGCTATCTGAACCCCTTACTACAAGGTGATAGAGTAAAAGGCAGTTAGATATAGAGACCTGATGGAGCAAAGAAACCAGGGCTTAGAAAGACTTCAGTTGTTCAAAAATAATCAAATGAAAACAAGACAGGCCATGTATTTTAACTTCTCCTATCAGAATTTATTCCCTGAGAGTCCCAGTTCAGAATTTCTAGGAATTAAGGCAAGAAAACAATGCCATCTTAAGCTCCTGCACCATGCAGAAAGTTTCCCAGAGAAGTAGTATTTAAGAACTCAAGAGAGTTACTTGGCAGGGCTATAGTAAGTTTGTCAGTTCCCTCAAAGCAACAACTAAAAATAACCATATACAGATTATCTTAAAAGGAAGTCTCTAAGCAGCTAAAACCTTTCAATGGTCTAACAAATAGATCCTATACTGTGGCCACAGGAACTAAGCCTCTGAGAAACCACATTGGATCTTTCTACCGAAAACTCCAGTTTACCCATTACAAGTCTCTAGAAACAGTAATGACCTGTTGTTTACTATGAAAAGAATGCTTTTCATGTATTTTCATTTGTTCCTTTCTTCACCCTCAACAGAGACGAATGTTTCTTTCTCACGTGTAACAAATATCTTCAGTGGATTTCCTGACTCTTGTCAGGGATGCAAATCTCTGTCCCCCACCCTCTTAATTCCTTCTTGGTAAATAATGTTACTCTTCCAATAGGAAATGGAGTACATTATCATCAAGCACTTCTTACTCAGCCTCCTTACTTACAAAGAAAGCTATGGGGCCATCTTATACATTTGGAATTCCTTAAAGACACTTGCTTTTTATTAAAATATTTCTTTATATATACATAAATAGATAAAATCTGTGAAGAATTCCTGAAGAATGAATTCAACTTAGATTGAAAAGTTAAAAATGTACCAAATGCACATAACGTTGGCTACTCTACATGTCTCCCATCGACTGTATCACCATTCTTCAAATCTAGAGCACATACTGACATAAAATGTATTACGTCCCAGCAAAGTTTGAAATCTTGCTTCAAAACACTGCTCAGTACTCTTTCTCAGAGGACATGTTACAGGACCACGTGAGTCACCGTTAGGCAGGTGGCTGAAGAATGCCAATTACAGGGCTAAGCCTTGACTGTGCAGAGTGCCTCTCCAGAGACTGCTGCATCCCCCACAGGTATTCAGGGAAGGACACTATTTAAGTAAAGAGACAGCACAATTTAAAAAGTACAGGCAAATACATGCTTGACTTTGTCTAATAACCTACAGACAATGCATCAGAATAAAAATATTATGAATTCATTTATCTTTTTCAAAAGAGAAACCTGATACAGAAATAGCAATAGTTACAAGTGATGATCATCAGATGGAACTAATTTCCATGAAGATCATGTCTCTGGAAGAGACGGGGACAAGGCAAGTGGTCAGGAAGGAAACACATGTACTTTTAACTTCACAGGAAAATCAGCGCTCAGTTCCATGTTGCCATATGAATCCTCTATTTCAAATTACTGCCCGAATGCTTTACTGAAACTCCGCTTCTGGCCTCTGTTTTGGAATCTGCTACTCTTGTTGCCACCTCCTGATCGTTGTCCTCTGAAGCTTCGATTTCCTTCCCGCTGCCCTCTGAAGCTTCTGTTTCCTTCTCGCTGTCCCCGGAAGCCTCGACTGCCTTCCCGCTGTCCCCTGAAGCCTCGATATCCTTCCCGTGGTCCTTCTAGCTCTGGCTGCTCCGTGGCCACAGACAGCTGCCAGCGACGTGAATCGTGCCATTTCTCCTGTGGGGAAATATGATTTTATCTGCTCTGATTTTTATTGAATTTGATTTTAAAAAGCATGAGAAAGACAGTATTTTTGCCCTTTCTCTAAAGAAAAACCAGGTCACTGATAACATAAGGTCACTGGTTAGGGGTACCTGGGTGGCTCAATTAAGCATCCAATTCTTGGTTTCAGCTCGGTCAGGCTCTCACAGTTTGGGAATCTGAGTCCCGCATCCATCTGCGAGCTAACAAGCGTGAAGCCTGCCTGGGATTCTCTGTCTCCCTCCCTCTCTGCCCCTTCCCTATCGCTCTCAAAAATAAACATTTAAAAAAAGTTTTCTTGGGGGGCCCGGGTAGCTCAGTCAGTTGAGCGTCCAACTTCGACTCAGGTCATGATCTCATGGTTCATGGGTTCGAGCCCTGCGTCAGGCTCTGCGCTGACAGCTAGCTCAGAGCCTGGTGCCTGTTTCAGATTCTGTGTCTCCCTCTCTCTCTGACCCTCCTCAGCTCACGCTCGCTCTCTCTCAGAAACAGAACCATTAAAAAAATTAAAAAAAAAAACAAAAAAAAATTAATAAAAAAGTTTTCTTTTAAGAAAATAAAAACATATAAAGTCACTTGTTAAAAATAACAACAACCTTCAGGTCATCTTGGTGGCTGCATCAGTTAAGCTTCTGACTCTTGATTTCGGCTCAGGTCATGATCCCATGGTTTGTGAGACTAAGCCCTGCATCAGGCTCTGTACTGACAGCACAAAGCCTGCTTCTGATTCTCTCTCTCCCTCTCTCCTCTTGCCCCTTGTCCACTTGTGGCTCACTTTCTTTCTCTCTCTCTCCTCTCAAAAAAAAAAAAAAAAAATACACTTAATAAAAAAAAATATTTTAGGGGCTCCTGAGTGGCTCAGTCAGTTGAGTGTCCGACTTCAGCTCAGGTCATGATCTCATGGTTTATGAGTTGGAGTCCTGCATTGGGCTCTGTGCTAACAGCTCAGAGCCTGGAACCTGCTTCAGACTGTGTTTCTCTAACTCTCTCTGACCCTTCCCCTGCTCACGCTCTGTCTCTCTCTCAAAAATAAACATTAAAAAAAGATTTTTTAGGGGCGCCTGGGTGGCTTAGTCGGTTAAGCATCCAACTTTCGCTTGGGTCATGATCTCGCGGTTCTTGGGTTCGAGCCCCGCGTCGGGCTCTGTGCTGACTGTCAGCTCAGAGCCTGGAGCCTGTTTCATTCTGTGACTCCCTCTCTCTCCAATCCTCCCCTGCTCACGCTGTCTCTCTCTCTCTCTCTTAGAAATAAATAAAAAACATTAAAAAAAAAAAAAAAAGAATAGATGCCTCTATTACCAAATGTAATTGTAACTGTTGATTCCAGTATAATGTACATTAGTGGAATTTGGAAGCAAGTAAACATTAAAGAGATTAATCTCTAAAAGATAATCTCCAAGAAGTTGAAGTTGTAAGTCCTTAGAGTGAGTATAGAGTCAAGAAAATTACTGAAGTTTAAGAATGACAGTCAACAAGTATTCATACCATTCTCTTACTAAGTGACGCTGGTCCCATAAATTTAAATATAAATTTTATTATGAATTGTGTTACATATACAGCAAAGTGTAAAAGCAGAAATGTGTATCTTAATGATTTATTATAAAGTAAATGAGTGTAAACTACTATTGAGGTCAAGAAACCACATTGCCAGACCCCAGAAGCCTACCTGCCTACCCTTACCCAGTTATACCTTCTTTCCTCCTGCCTAAAGGTAACCACTGTTCTGACATTAATTATGTTCACTTTCTTTTTTTACTTATAATTTTGGCCTATACTTTTCATTGTTGGCTTTATAAAATAAGTTGTGGAGTGGTCTCTCTCTTTTTAAGTTCTCTGGAATAATTTGTGTAAAATTAGAATTATTTCTGTCTTAAATAATCGAGAGAATTTGCTGATAAAGCCATCTGATTCCGGAGTTTCCTTTGTGAGAAGGATTTTCATTACAAATTTCATTTCTTTAGTTTAATAGGTTAATTACAAATTTAGTTTCTTTAACTATTTCATAACTATTCAAATTTCTTCATTCTTCTTGTATTGGTTTTTGTGAAGTTGTATTTTTCTAGGAATTTATTTCATTACAATTTATTGGCATCAAGATTTCATAAAATTCTTTTATTATCTTATTAATGTTGGCAGGATCTGTTGTGATATCCTCTGTTTAGCTCCTACCACTAGCTACCTTTTTTTTTTTTTTTACTTGACCAGATTCCCCAGGGATCTATGAATTTTATTAGTCTTTGCAAAGAACCAAGCTCTGGCTTTGACAATCCGCTCTACTGTTTATTTTCTGGTTCATTCATTTCTGCTCTTTATGGCCTTTCTTCAACTTTCTTTGGCTCTATTTTATTATTTTTTATTTCCTGTATCTTTTTATATAGGAACTTAAATTAACTCATTATTTTCAGCCTTTCTTCCTTCTAATATATTTGTTCAAACCTCTAAGGACAATTTTAACTGCATACATAGTAATATTTTGTGTATAATTTAATTCAACATATTTTCTAATTTGCATCTTGATTTCCTCTTTGATTTAGAGACATACTTATTCCATTTAGCTATTTCTTAATTTCCAAACATGTGAACATTATCTTTTTATCATAATTTCACTGTAGCCAGAGAAGATATTCTTTGTGATTTCACTCCTTTGAAACATTTTTCAATTCTTGAATTTCTGTTTATTTTTCACATCTCCTTTGTTATTTATAGTTTCTAATTCTCTGCCAAAATTTATAGTCTTTTATCTCTGCGAAAATAGTTTAAAGTAGTTATCTTAAAGTCTTTCTCTGATAATTCCCATATCTGGAACTTCTGTGTCTGTTTCTATAATGTGTTCTTTTTATCCTGCTACATTATGTTCTTCTTGTCTTGTTTTCTCTTATGCGTGATTTTTGTTGACTATATATCTGATATTTTTCTTGAAAAAATTGTAGAAATAACATGAAACCTCAGATAATAATATCTTCCTTTGGTGAGGATTTTATTTATCCTAGGAAAAGCAACTAGCAGGACAGGATTACCTTAACTCAGTTTTAGGGATTGATATCTACCCAGATGACTAGAAACTGGGGTGCAGTCTGTGAAAGTTTGGGTTTATATCTGATTCACCCTTATTCCTAGGATGCAGTCTTTCTGGGTCCCAATCCAATCTTGAGAGTTTTACCAGGGCTCTCACTCTTGACATACCTTGAACTCCTGACTTTTGTTCCTTTAGCCTTATAAAACTGGCAAAAAGGTTGAACAACCTCTTTGCTAACTTGTCCAGAATTGGCAAATGTCTCTCTGGTAAAAGGAGACCCAAATATGGCTTATTCCTCTGGTTTTTGCCTTCTTTAGACTGTGACCTGCTAATTCCTTACCCTTTGTAAATTCTCTGATGCATTTGATTGGATTTTTAAAAATAGTTTGTTCAACTTTTCTAGTTGTCTGAGAGGGTTGATCTGAATTATCCAGTGTTTCATTACTGAATGCAGAGGTCTGAAAATACTCAAAATGAAATGCTCTGCTATCTCATGCTGCAGAGTGGTTAAGAGCATGGATTCTGCATCTAAACTGCCTAGCACACGTGTGAATTCTGGCTCCACTACTTCCTAACTGTATAACCTTGGACAGGCTACTCAACTTCTCTTGAGTGACCTCATGTGTAAAATGGGAATAATACTTCTTATTCCTTAGAGTTGTTATTGAGGTTAAATGAGTTCATATCCTTAAAGAGCTTAGAAGAAGGCCTGACACACAGTAAACATTTCAGAAGTGATTTGTATCATTATTATCCAGGATGGGATGGAAATCTGTTCCTGTATGAGAACATGAGCAACAGTTATTTACCAAACTATTCAAATTAAATACATCACTAAGATGTCTAAAATTTTTATTTAATTCTCAGAATAACAAAATATGGACCATATATACCCTGAAGTTGTAGACTTGGTTTCTGCTTCAAAAACCCTCTCCTACAAAATGTATTCTCAGCGGTAACAGTTCTGAGGATGTGCATTGTACGTTGGTCTTCAAAACTACTGCTGGAGGCAGTTGGGTACAGGGAGGGTGGTAGAAATCCCAGGCATTGCCCTAATTAAATTAAATTGTTGGATAGATAATATATCCAGATTGAATCTGCTCTAGATATTCTATAATGCTTTCAGGGATACTTTTTTCAATTTTGAACATGCACACAAGAAATTAAAGAAGACCTAAATAGAGATATATATCATGTTTATGGATTAGAAGACTCAGTATTGTTAAGACCATAATCCTTCCCAAATCGATCTATGGATTCAGTCCATTTTGTATTAAAATCTTATCAGGCTTGTTTCTAGAAATTCACAAGCTCATTCTAAAACTGATATAAAAATTCAAAGGACCTAGAATAGCCAAATCAAGTTTGAGAAGGAAGAGCAAAGTTGGATGTCACCCAAATGTATCCTATTTTAAGACATTTTTAAAGCTACAGTAATTTAAGTAGTACAGTATTGGCATAAATATTGAAATGTAGGTCAATGGAAGACAATTGAGAATCCTGAAAACAAATTCACCAAACGAATACTTGATTTTTAACAAGAGTTCCAAAGCAATTCAGTGTGAAAGGAGAGTATTTTCTATGGTGCTGGAGCAACAGGTATTAATATGGAGAAAAAAAGGACCCAGACCCTTCCTTCATACCAAATACACACAGAGCTCATAGATCTAAATGTAAGAGGTACAGTTATAAAACTTTGAGCTTTGTGACCTTGGATTAGACAAAGATTTATTCAAAAACATGATCCATAAAAGAAAAAAATTGATAAATTGGGCTTCTTAAAGCAGTTGCTCTTCAAAAGATATCGTTAAGAAAATGGAAAGCCAAAGACTGGGCGAAATCATTTGCAAGTCACATACTGTTAAAGTTCTGTATCCAGAACTTATAAAGAACTCTTACAACTCAATAATAAGAGGACAAAAAACTTATTTAAAACATGAGTAAAGAAAAAAAACCCATGGGTATAGGATTCAGTAGTCACTTCACCGAAGAAGATATATGGATAGCTAATGAACACATCAGAAGGTAGCATAATGGATCATTGGGGAAATACAAATTAAAAGCACAATGTGAGGGGCGCCTGGGTGGCTTAGTCAGTTAAGCGTCCGACTTTCGCTTAGGTCATGATCTCGCGGTTCGTGGGTTCGGGCCCCACGTCGGGCTCTGTGCTGACTGCCAGCTCAGAGCCTGGAGCCTGTTTCAGTCTGTGACTCCCTCTCTCTCTGACCCTCCCCTGCTCATGCTGTCTTTCTCTCTCTCTCCCCTAGAAATAAATAAAAATATTTGAAAAAAAAATAAAAAAAAATAAAAAATAAAAAAAGATTTTTTAAAATATTTAAAAAATTATACAACCTTCATGGCCCAAAACCCAGTGATGGCAGTGTAAGAAAGTAAGTTTCACTATGAGAAGTACGCTCACCACTATTATCATTTATTCAATTCAATTACTACAGGGTATTCCCAGCTGTCAGGCAGTAAAACATGCAAAAATACCACAAACCCTTATCTCACAGGAGTACTAAGTGAAGATAGAGCAATTAAAGATGTCTACGTAAACCCCATACAACATACATAGGAGAAAAAAAACTAGATATTGTTCATAACTCTACAGATATACGAAAGAAGAAAAACAGGCTAAATAAGAAAATTATATGAATAAAACGCTAGGAGAAAAAAATACTAAACTTCATTAATTTTTTTTTTTAATTTTTAACGTTTATTTTTGAGAGAGAGAGAGAGAGAGAGACAGAGTGTGAGTGGGGGAGGGGGGGGAGAGAGAGAGAGACTGAATCTGAAGCAGGCTCCAGGCTCTGAGCTGTCAGCACAGAGTCTGACGCAGCGCTCAAACTCATGAACCATGAGATCATGACCTGAGCTGAAGTCGGAGGCTTAACCAACTGAGCCACCCAGGCGCCCCTAAACTTCATTAATTCTTAATTGTCTTTTAGTAAAGGGACTAGAACTGTTGTTTCCTTTTCCATTATTCTGTGTTTTCAATAATGAACATTTTATAATTTAAATATGTTAACTTCAAAATCCAAGAGAAAAGCATACCTGTATTTCTGTTACTGCTGCAGTAGGGACATCAAAGCAAACCCCCTAGAAATCAAAACAAATCCAAGTTAATCCAGCCTTTCACCACAATTGTAAGTGTACATTAAGTGATGCTCCAAAAGACCACGTATTATATTAAAAAACAAAAACAAAAAACTCTCTAGGTATTAATTTTAGATGGTACTTTTTGCCAATGCCAATACATATCATACTTCCCCAAAACACAACAGCAAACACCCAAGGATATTTTTAAAAGGGACTCAAAATGATTGAACACTGGCTACAAATCATTCTTAGCTAACACACTGTGCTAATTTCTCAAGAAGCTATTAGCTACATTTTAGAGCTGAGAAAACAGAGGTTTGGAGAGGCTAAGTCAAAGGCCCCAGCTGGGAAACAGAGCAAGTTTTAAAAATCTGTTCAATATGGCCCCAAAAATCAATGGTCTACATTAAAATACACTGCTTTCCATAAGAAAGAGTGCCTGCTATTCAGGATGACCTAACTAAAAGTAGAAAAATACATGATTTTCCATTGTTAATTTTCTAGGTTTTCACAATTCACCTTGCTATAAAAAGGTTTTTATAGAATTTCAGGGGCACCTGGGTGGCTCAGTTGGTTAAGTGCCTGACTCTTGATTTCGGCTGAGGTCATGATCTCACAAGTTCCTGAGTTCTGGCCCTGTGATGACAGCGTGATGCCTACTTAGGGTTCTCTCTCTTTCCCCCTCTCCCTGCCCCTCCCCTGTGCACATTTATGCTCTCACAAAATAAACATTTCTTTTTAAACAAAAAATATGGACTCTGGATGCCTCAGTTGGTTGAGCATCTGACTCTTGACTCCAGCTCAGGTCATGATCTCATGGTTCATGAGACTGATCCCACATTGGGCTCTGCACTGACAGTGTGGAGCCTACTTGAGATTCTCTCCCCTCCCCCATCCCGCCCTCTGCTCTGTCTCTAAAAATAAGTAAACTTATTAAAAAAACACTTTATAGGACAATAGCAGTACCATCACCTCCAATTAAGGAGACAGTGGTTCTTGGTTTCCATACGCGTAGCTGGAATCGGCCCTTCAACTGACACAGGCACTCCTCTCCCCTGGCTATCTTTACCTGCAACATTTTGTGAGGAACACCCCACTTCCACCCAACAATTCACCCAACTATAATCACACAGGTGGCATCAGGTACTGACGGATTTTGCCACTTGTGGGCATCTTCATTCACAAAATTATTACATATTTAACACCAGGCACTCACTGAAGTATAAACAGCACTAGAAAATTGTTTTTGCCCTTGAGTACATCATAGTGTTCTCGAGGCTCTCAGTCAATAAGCAAGCACAATAAGCAAGATAAAATGTGCCTGAATAAAGGCACGCCCAAGGAACTCTGAAGTATGGAAAAGCGGCCCCCAACTCTACTGTATGGCCAGGGAACGCTTCACAGGGAGACTTAAGGCCAAGCCAAGTCATAGAGAATAACGTGGAGGGGAAAAAAATACTATAAGCACTATGCTGAGCACATTTAGGATGCCAGCAAGCAAGGTGGACTTGGCACTGCTGGAGCGGAGGCACAGCAGTGAGGACGCAGTAAGGGGAGCGGGAGCCTGCTCGTGGAGACTCACCTGCCATGGGAGAGCGGACACTGTAACCCATACTGTATGTGCAGTTCCTTAAGGACGTAAACACAGACATGCAGTGATGTGACGGTAAGCCACATTTGGTTCTCTAGGCAAGTGGTTTATGAAGTACAGTTTATGCCTCCCTGGAAACCTGAGACCTTTTGGGGAGGTTCCACAAAGTCAAAACGACTTTCCTAATACTAAAATGTCACGTGTCCTCTCCATTCTCCTCCTCACATAAGCACATAGCAGAGTTTCCCGGACACATTACCCATGATGCTATCACTGCTCTGATGGCAAATGGAACGGTATTCTTTGGTTTTAGAATTCCAGTTTTCATTTCTAACACAGTAAACACTAATAGATATAACCCTCATGAACAAAAGCTTTTTGGTACTCTCACCAATCATTAAAAATGTAAAAATGTATTCTTCGGTTTTAGAATTCCAGTTTTCATTTCTAACACAGTAAACACTAATAGACATAACCCTCATGAACAAAAGCTTTTTGGTACTCTCACCATTCATTAAAAATGTAAAGGGGTCATGAGACCAAACGGTTTGAGAACTGCTGTGGTCTATACCAGTAACTGAGGAACAGGACTCAGAAGAAAGAATATCAGGTTTGGAAGGCAAGATTTAAAGTTTTAGGTTTGGGGCACCTGGGTGGCTCAGTTTGTTAAGCATCCGACTTCAGCTCAGGATGAAGTTCACGGATGATCTCGTGGTGAGTTTGAGCCCCGTGTCAGGCTCTGTGCTGACAGCTCAGAGCCTGGAGCATCCTTTTGATTCTGTCTCCCCTTCTCTCTGCCTCTCCCATGCTCGTGCTCTGTCTCTCTTTGTCTCTCAATAATAAATACAAATGTTAAAAAATAAAAAATTTTAGGTCTGAATTAAAGACTGTGAATTGAATAATTGTACACTACTTAATAACTCCATGGGTAGAAATGTCAGGGGAGCAGCTGGGACTTCATGGCCGTCATGGCATGCAGACAGTTCAGGCTAGAGATACAGATGGGGTAGCTGTCCATGACTAAGTGGCAACTGAGGGTCATGGATGACATCGCCCAGAAAAGACTATATATAGAGAGCAAAAGATGCACCATCCCCACACAATAGGGAGGAGCCTACACTTGGTGTTTTATCGTCCACATTAAGCTACTGAACCAAAGGACGGTCACAACATTCCTTACCTGCTTTCCTTTGAGAAAAACCATTCCCTTCACTTTGGAATCAATTTCCTCACCCAGCTGCTCTTTAAGTTCTTTCCAAGCATAACTAATGTTTGGCATTTCAATTGAGCATCGTAAGATCATGGTCACAAAGCCCTTAGAGAAGAAAGAGGAACAAACTTAATCTCAAAATCAAACCTGATTGATAAAAAAAATTGCCCTTATATTTCTAAACTGTATCTGGAAAAGTTCCTCCTAAAAGCATACACCACTCTCCCAATATAAACACATAAATTAGTATAAAACTGGGAACTCTGAACAAGACTTTTGGTTTGCCTCAATGTCAGCACCCCAGTTGGGACATTCTAGCTTTGTAAAATGTTACCATTGGGGGAAACTGGGTAAAGTATAAAAGGGACTCTCTCTGTTATCTCTTCTAACTACATGTAAACCTACAAGCGTCTTAAAAATTTCAATTTAAAAAAAGGAAAAATGCATATACCTTAAGTTTCTAGGTATATTGGCCAAATGGATCATACCCATTTATGTGTTCATATGGTTGGGGTTTTCTTTGAAGGATTAAAAAAACTGACATACAGTTCACATACAATAATGTTCACCATTTTAAAGTATACAATTCAGGAGATTTCAGTATATTTACAAGGTTTCAACCATCACCACTAACTAAAATTCCAGAATGTTTTATTACCCGAAAAAGAAACCACATGCCCATTAGCAGTCAATGTCATTCCCCCCCAACTGAGACACTGGAAATGAATAATCTACTTTCTTTCGCTAAAGGATTTGTTTATATATATATATATACACACACCTTCATACAAAACTTAAAACAATTGGGAAGTCTAACTGAACCCTTTTAAATCCTGTTCAGACTCAAAATTACCAAAGTGTCAGAGTTTGACAGGAAGCCTTACCGCATCTGAGTTCATCAAAGAGCGCTGGTCTACTGATGTGGCCCCTGAAATATGCGCCAGTGCTGCTGCCAGTGCTTCCACGGCTCCCTTCTCCTCTATCAGTTTCTCAGCTGACTGCTTGAAGTGACCAATGGCAGTGGGAGGCACAGAATCCAAAAGCCTATGGTGTGATTGAGTATATTTGTTAGGAGAGGACATGGTGGACAGATTTCATTTTCAAGGCAACGGCATCTCAAGATAAATCAGTAACTTTCAAACCAAATCTTTCATATTATCTAACACACATCATTTTGATGCAATGTACATTGCATGATCACATTTCTGTAGAAATAAATCCATTCCTTGGGGCACCTGGGTGGCTCAGTCGGTTAAGCTCCAACTCTTGATTTCAGCTCAGATCATAATCTCACTGTCTGTAAGATCAAGCCCCACATTGGGCTCTGCACTGACATCATGAAGCCTGCTTGGGATTCTCTCTCTCCTTGCCCCTCCCCTGCTCGTACTACCTCTCTCTCAAAATAAATAAGTTAAAAGAAAAAAGAATAAATCCATCCTTTTGACTGCATCTAATTTGATTTTACTATCAAATTTTTTAAAAAGTTTCATCCCAGGGCACCTAGGTGGCTCAGTTGGTTAAGCATCCGAGTCTTGATTCCTGCTTAGATCATGATTCCAGGGTCGTGGGAACCTGCTCCACTCAGTGCGGAGCCTGCTTAAGATTCTCTCCCCCTCTCTCTGCCCCTCTCCCCTGATCATATGCTCTCTCTCTCTAAAATTAAACAAACAAGTAAATAAAGTTTTATCCCAAAGAAATAACAGAACAAGTACCAAGATGTTCACCACAGTGTTATTTATGATATAGAAAAGAGTATACTGACTTTGGCTTTGGTCTTGGGCTCATGTTTGTGAGTTTACCCCGCATCTGGCTCTGTGCTGACAGCTCAGAGCCTAGAGACTGCTTTGATTCTGTGTCTCCCTCTCTCTCTGCCTCTCTCTTGCTTATGCATGTTCTCTCTCAAAAATAAACATTAAAATAATTTTTTAAAGGGTATAAAACTTGTAAGACAATAGACTAGTTAAATAAACCCTGAAACAGATACAATGGAACTCCATGCTGCCACTGAAAGTGATGTGAATAAATCCTGAACATTCCTTTTCTAAGTTTATTTATTTTGAGAGAAAACACAAATGGGTGAGGGGCAGAGAGAGAGAGGGAGAGAAAATCCCAAGCAGACTCCTGTCAGTGCAAAGCTCAATGTGAGGCTCAAATACACGAACCGTGAGATCATGGCCTGAGTCAAAGTCTGATGCTTAACTGACTAAGCCACTTAGGTGCCCCTCAGACTGAGTGGTTCTTTTTTGTTGTTGTTGTTAAAAGGAAAAACCCTTTTTAAAAATATTTGTCTATTTATTTTTGAAGGAGAGCGAGAGAGAGAGAGACAGCGTGATTGGGGCGGGGGGGCTTGGACAAGGGAGACACAGAATCTGAACCAGGCTCCAGGCTCTGAGCTGGCAGCAGAGCCTGACGCGGGGCTCTAATGACCTAAGTCGAAGTCAGACACCCAACCGAGTCACCCGGGTGCCCCCAGATTCAGTGATTCTCTTAAGCAGAGAATGTAGGCCACCATTTGGAAACATCTGGAAAATAGTCAGGACCTTCTGGTTTTCACAATGCCAACCCCACTCCACCCCCAGAATACACTGCACAGACAGAGATGCTCAACAACTAACTATCCTTCAATTTGTAGGGTAATCCTACAAATAATTCTCTTGCACCCAATGCCAGTAGCACTTCCAGTGACAAACACTGTTGGTTAATCTAATCCTCATCATCTAGTGATAACTTAAATAATCAGGGGTGGCTGGGTGGCTCAGTCGGTTAAGCGTTCAACTTCAAATCAGGTCATGATCTCAGAGCTTGTGAGTTCGAGCCCCATGTCAGGCTCTGTGCTGACAGCTAGCTCAGAGCCTGGAGCCCACTTTGGATTCTGTGTCTCCCTCTTTCTCTGTCCCTCCCTGGCTCATGCTCTTCGTCTCTCTCTCTCCTTTAAAAATAAACAAACATAAAAAAAATAATAAACTCATTCCCACCAGTTGAGGAACTTGATTGATGATGATATGGAGTATAATCTGTGGTCCAATCTAATCAATCTCCACATGGGAAGCGCCCACACCATTTCTAAGATATGGTTCCTCAAATTGCCCAAAACAAACCAAATTATTCATAATGGTTTCCTCTAGTGAACAGGATTGGTTAGGGATTGAGTACCAATTAGGACTTTCGTTTGGTAAAATTTTACTTAAGAACAGTCTATTTTTATAACAAATAGGTTATAAATTGTTAAAAATAATAAATAAAATTCGAAAGCCAAATCTCATTTCTGCACAAAGCCAGGCAGTAAATGAACAAGCACTACAAGAGACCACAGCAGTGGCAGGAAACAGACCTGATGGCATCTTTGCTGGAAGCTTTTATTATCTCCGTTGCAGAAGGAACACCTATTCGTTTAAATTTAATTCCCTACAAGAAAATGAACCATAGTTTAATATACAATATGGCCATCAAATATTTTCACTGAGATTAAACTCTCTATAATTTTTTATGTTACCAAACACACTTATGACACATTTAAAAGATAAACTATTTTAGAATGGTTTTAGGTTTACAGAAAAGTTGCAAAAATAGGACCCAGAGCTCCTGTACACTATGTACTGAATTTCCCTATTATTAGCATTATGGTACATTTGTCACAGCTAAGAAACCAACACTGCCCCATTACAATTAACTGAATTCGAGTTAATTTGAATTTCACTAGTTTTTTCCAAATACCCTTCTTCTGTTCCAGTGACACAGTACATTCAGCGGTCAAATGTTCTTAGTCTCCTCTGATCTCTGACAGTTTCTGCCTTTCCTGGTTTTTCATGACCTTGATAGTTTTAAGGAGTGCCGGTCAAGTATCTTATAGAATTTTGTCCCTCGCTGTGAAGGTGCCTCGGGTTCTTTGCATGCTTGAGACTGAGATTACAGGTTTTGAGGAAGAAAACCAGAGGTGAATGCTGTCTCATTATATCATTCTCAAGGCATATGCTGATCATTGATGTTAAGGACAATCGCCCTGGCCGGAGAGTGCACCTCTCCTTCTCCATAGGCACATAAGTACAGTCTGCTCAAGGATATGGGGAGAGATTTATCTGTCAGGAAAATCAGTCTCCTCTCTCCATTTTAAAGGTATCCTTTTGGTTTTTAAGCAATTCCTATGACCCCCTAACCTATGCTTAAATATTTGGGGTGTGTTCATGTTATCACTGGCTGAAAACATAAAAATAGCCCATGTAATTGTAAATACAAAAACAAAACCACTGCTTTCAAATGCAAACTTATTTCAAAATGGGGTTTATGTTGTAGGACAATGTATAAAACAACATGTATCTAACAAGCTTTCAGTTAAGGCCACATGCTAGAAATAAAAACTTAAAATTAATAAAAATTGAATTTAAAAAAAAAAAAGACTTTAGAATTCAACATTTGCTGAATGAAAAATAAGAACACTATTTTACCGCTTTTTGCTCCACTTGTGCTAACTGATATTCCTCCTTGTGCTGATAAAAGCAGATGCAAATCCCCGTCCTTCCAGCTCTACCCGTCCTCCCAGAGCGATGAATGTAGGATTCCACATCCTATTGAGGAAAGCACATGAATAACACTGAACAAAAAGAGATAAAGACCTGAGTGGTCTATGCAGAGGCAAGTGTGGTGGTCTTACTCTCTACCCGGAGTGTGAGGTTCTTCAGCACTTCAATTTAAACTAAAGGACTGTGACCATTTTTTTAAAAATCTCTTGAATAGTGGACCCTATCCTATAGACAAATCTGAAAAAAGCATCACCTAAATAGTATTGTGCTACAGAACCATATAAGTAATTTCAATCTTCAATTTTCTAGTAACCCACTAAAAAGCTATAAAAAAAGTTAAATTAATGATATATCTTCTTTAACTCAATATATCTAAAAGTTGTATCATTTCAATATGCTATCCAGATAAAAGGACAGATCACTGAGATATTTTACATTCTTTTTTCATGTCTCTAAAATCCAGTATACATAATACAAAGTTTAAAATATAAAAAAAATCCAATGTGTAGATTACATTTAGAATATACATGTCAATTCAGACTGTTTCCAGTACTCAACAGCTACACATGGCTGTGGCCATCATATTGGACAGCACAGTTCTACAGGCTCCCTTAAACAACATGTATGTCACACACTAATCAGACTTCCTTTCTAAGAACTGTTGACTTCACAGTAATCAGGTTATTTTTTCTATCATTGTAAACAACCTTTAATCCTGAGGAATTTGCCAATTTGGTAAGGTCCTCACATTTGAAGTGATGGGAGCAGAGCATACTCCTTCAGACCTACTTTTACTTACATGAAGCACTGTCCATACCACCTAACCTGATGCTTCGGCGGCCCTAAGAGGTTCCCATCACTCACAAACCCAAGCAGTTTTAACCACGGAGGCTATTAATCACAGGCCCTTTTCCCCTTCTCTATCCTCTAGTTCATGATTTTATGTTACCCTCACCCCACCTAAGTCCCACCCATCTTCAAAGTCCAGTTCACAACTGCACTACCTGCACCAGCCTACCAAAATCTCCTTCAATAAGAAACAATCTTTCTCTGGCCACTGACCACATTTCTACTCAACTGTCGATTCTGAAGGAAGGACCTCAGAAGAGGCTTATTTTTAAAATCACCACAGCTTCCTAGCACTCAAGAGATAGCTATTACTAACCACATGAAACTAAACCATACAACTTCCAGTCTGTTTTAGTATTCCCCCCCAGAAAAAACAAAAACAACAACAAACAGAAACAAAACAAAACTGTAGTATAGAACACTTACCTTTGGTGGAGAACTCTGTACAACCAGATCAACTTCAGGGATGTCTAACCCACGAGCAGCAACATTGGTCGCAACCAAAACTCCAAAATCACCATTTCTAAAACCTTTCAGAGTGATTTCTCTCTGCTTCTGAGGAATATCTCCATGTAATGACTGGGCATCCTGCCAAAGAAATAAGCTGGCTTAAGAATACCAGATCTAACAATCCAGGTACTTTTAATACCACAAATTAGGCCTGTAAGGACATTGGGATTTTGGTGATAGTTCCACTGAAAATAATGCAAAGGGAGAAATATATGCCTTACACGGACAAGCCTCAAACTTTTTTCCACTCCTTAGTCATTAGATCAACTGCGTCCATCTATACTTACTGGGTAAAAAACACCAGACAAGACTGATCAAGCCTACTTTGTCAGTGTAACCTCGGGTTTGAGGCACTGTTTCCTCGCCTGTGAGGGGACTGACAGATCAGGTGAGCTCTAAAATGTAAACGGGGTCTATCAGTTGAAAGATGCTTTCTCCCTAAAGGAAAGGGGGAAGAACCAACCTGCTTTATAGAAACATTCTGTGACAACTCCTGGGCTTCTTTCTTGGTTTCGCAGAAGATGATAGTGCGCCCGTGAAAACCACTATATACTCGGATCACATCCCCTATAACTGCTGCCCTCTGAGTCCAGTGGCACTTGATAGCCAGGTGCTTATCGGAGGGGGAAAAAGATACATTTAGTAAAGCCCGCCCAGAACCTGAAATAACCTGTTCAACACTAGTGGTGCTAGAAGCGATTGTTTAATACAGACTAGAGCAGACTTCTGCCACCGCTGTGTAGAGAAAAAAACCCAAACTCATCAACACGAGAGCCCTTTCTCCAAAGAGCATCTGGTTCCTGTTTTCTGCACAAACAAGGAAAACGAAAAAGAAATGCCATTCCCTCAATTCTTACAGGAAATCAAGTAACTGACAAATTTTTTGGTACGTTTTTGTTCCTTTTATCCAATTAAAACTGTGACTAGCCAGTTAGCATGCAGGTCTATTCTTTGGGTGAAAGGAATTCTAGGTGCTGGGCCCTAAAACGAAAACAGCTTCAAAACAAAGTACTAGAGGGGCGCCTGGGTGGCTCAGTCGGTTAAGCATCCGACTTCAGCTCAGGTCATGATCTCATGGTTCGTAGGTTTAAGCCCCGCGTCGGGCTCTGTGCTGACAGCTAGCTCAGAGCCTGGAGCCAGTTTCAGATTCTGTATCTCCCTCTCTCTCTGACCCTCCTCTGTTCATGCTGTCTCTCTCTCTCTCTCAGAAATAGATACATTAATAATAAAAAAAAAAAAAAACCCCAAAGTACTAGATTTCTCTGCTAGTTTAAATTCTAGGTGTTGGGACACATGGCTGGCTCAGTCGGTAGAGCATGGAACTCACAATCTTGGAGTTGTGAGTTCGAGCCCCATGTTTTGGGTAGAGACAACTTAAAAACAAAATCTTAAAAGAAAAAAATCAATTCTAGTATAATTTCTATTTACAAAATTCAGACAGATACAAATTCCAAAAGATTTTGAAATCTGACTACCAGATAATGAAATTTAGAAAACACAGATAATCACATACAACTCACAGAGAAATAGATCTTTAATTGGCTCTTCACATGGATTTAGTATTTATCTGGAAAAACAGTCTGTATTTACCAGTCTTAGTATTTTATCGGACAGAAAAAAAAAATGACATGCAAAATTCTAACTGAATGAATCATTTACCTCCACAGTTATTGCCGTTTTCTGAGTCTTTTTACCAATCAGATCCACCTGTTCATATGTAGATTTCATGTATTTCTTAGCAACATTATATACCCAATGAGGGCAAGTTGCAGAAAAAAGCAATGTCTGGGGATTGTCTTCCGAATCTTTGGGGGGAAAAAGTCAGTATGAATAACCCAAATAAGCCTATACAGTACTCTACCTCACCCAGTTCTTCCACAGTCAATCAACACGCAACAGCAACCACTTGAGGCCAAGCCAGGCACTGATGACACAGAAATGAGAGAGACAGAGATTCCTAATGGGCAAAGAAATACTGCCTAAGTAACTTATGTAAAGGAGACTTGAAACACCAAACGTACTTTAAAATTACTTCGCTTTCCAACCACTGGCCTTTATGCACCATGAAGGAAATCTATCCATTATAACGAGACCTATCACCTGGAAAACACCTGTTCATGAAGCCCAGTAACTATCTAGTTTAGATCACTAAGTAAATAACCTACAATAAACACCAGAACAGATTCTATACTTGTCTATACTCTCTAGCGTTTCCTGAGTATTCTGAGTTTAGAATTCTGGTCTATTCATTCTTTGAGATCAGGTACTAAAAACTTTCCCCAGCCTCTCCCTCCCCCGCTTTTTAGTTTGCTCTTTGAATAACACTGCTTTTTCATATAGTATTTCAAATAGCGGTGTAAGTAAATAGAGCCCTTTTGGAGAGCAACCTGACAATGTACATTGAGAAACATGAACTATTTATACCTTTGAACTCAGTAACTTCATTTCTGGACATCTACCCTAAAAAATAAATTCCAAATACTGAAATGTGAAGGAAGCTATCTACATAATAATGTCTATAAGCGGAATTATTTATATTATCTAAAAATCAAAATACATAGATGGAATTAAATCATGGCAAAACTTCTTCATGGAGTGTTATGCCAAATTTTTTATATGCGTGGTAAGATTAAAATTAACACACACACACACACACGCAACAATAGTACAAAGTCAGAAAGAAATAGACCAAAAGCAAAGCACACCAAGCTGGCAGAATATCAAATCTTTTCTTTTACTTTCCCCATTATAGTTATGTGATAAATCATGGTTGTTTTTTATATTTAAGTTTCCTAAATGAAATAAATCATCCCCCAATTTAAGGCTTCATTTAACTCTTAGAAGACCACCTAATCACCACTCTTTCTCTAATCTTTTTATCACTTCCTTGAATTTGGAGCTTACCTTTCTTGTATGCCACACTTAAAATCTCTTCCACTTGATCAGCAAACCCCATATCTAACATCTGGTCAACTTCATCCAGGACAACATGTTTAAGTTTGGTGAGATCTAGCTTGCCATTCTGCAGGTGGTCTTTGATACGACCTGGGGTCCCAACCAGGATATCAATCCCATTCCGCATGCGTTCAACTATAAAGAACATCAATAAGATATACTAGGTTTTAAGTCCTTTTATTAGTCTAAGGTACCAATTAAATATATTTTTTTCTTTTTCTTTTTTTTTTTTTAAAGATTTTTTTAATGTTTTATTTATTTCTAGGAGAGAGAGAGAGAGACAGTGTGAGCAGGGGAGGGTCAGAGAGACAGAGGGAGACACAGACTGAAACAGGCTCCAGGCTCTGAGCTGGCAGTCAGCACAGAGCCCGACGCGGGGCTCGAACCCACGAACCGCGAGATCATGACCCAAGTGAAAGTTGAACGCTTAACCGACTAAGCCACCCAGGCGCCCCTAAATACATTTTTAATCTAAAATATTTATTAACTACAAGTATAAGGTAATATGCTAAGAAGCTTCTGCACAGCCAAGGAAACAACCCAGAAAATTAATAGGCAACCAACGGAATGGGAAAAGATAGTTGCAAATGACATATCAGATAAAGGATTAATATCCAGAATCTATAAGGAACTCACCAAACTACACGCCCGAAAAACAAACAACCCAGTGAAGAAATGGGCAGAAGACATGAACAGACACTTCTCCAAAGAGGACATCCAGATGGCCAACAGACACATGAAACGATGCTCAGCATCGCTCCTCATCAGGGAAATACAAATCAAAACCACACTGAGATACCACCTCACGCCAGTCAGAGTGGCTAAAATGAGCAAATCAGAGAACTCTAGATGCTGGCGAGGATGTGGAGAAACGGGCACCCTCCTACACTGTTGGTGGGAATGTAAACTGGTACAGCCCCTCTGGAAAACAGTGTGGAGGTTCCTCAGGAAACTAACAATAGAACTCCCTTATGACCCAGCAATAGCACTGCTAGGAATTTACCCAAGGGATACAGAAATGCTGAGGCATAGGAGCACATGTACCCCAATGTTCATAGCAGCACTCTCCACAATAGCTAAAACATGGAAAGAGCCTAAGTGTCCATCAACAGATGAATGGATCAAGAAGATGTGGTTTATCTATACCATGGAATACTACATGGCAATGAGAAACAATGAAATCTGGCCATGTGTAGCAACATGGATGGACCTTGAGGGTGTTATGCTGAGCGAAATAAGTCAGGCAGAGAAGGACAAATATCATATGTTTGCACGTATAGGAGGATTAGGAGGAACTTGACGGAGGAACAAGGGGGAGAAGAAGGGCGGAAATGGTGGGGGAAAGGGAGAGAGGCAAACCATGAGAGACTCTTGAATGCTGACAAAAACTGATGGATGTGGGGGGGAGGGGGGGATGGGCATGGAGGAGGGCACTTTGGAGATGAGCACTGAGTGTTATGTAGAAACTAATTTGACAATAAACTATTTGTAAAAAAAAAAAAAAAAAGGTAATATGCTAAGAATCAAAGATAAAGATACTCAAGGCACTCCTTAACCTGGTGGGAAGAACAGGTAAGAAGTGACAATCCAGAAAAATGCACCAGTGGGAGATGGAACCACCAGAAAAGAAAGGACTTCCTTGGTAGTAGAAAAGTGTCAAAAGGTTTCACAGACAAACTGAGAATGAGAATCTTTTTTTTTTTTTAAAGTTTATTTATATTTGAGGGAGATAAAAGGAGAAAGAGAGGGAGAGAAGGGAAAAGAGAGAGTGAGCACAAATGGGGGAGGAGTAGAGAATATCTCAAGCAGGCTCCACACTCTCAGAGCAGAACCCGACACGAGGCTCAATCCCACAAACCATGAAATCATGATCTGAGCCAAAATCAAGTGACTGAGCCACCCAGGCACCCCAAGAATGAGAATCTTAAAGAAATAAGAGCAATCCCTATCAAAATAACACCTGCATTCTTCACAGAGCTAGAACAAACAATCCTAAAATTTGTATGAAACCAGAAAGACCCCAAATAGCCAAAGCAATCCTGAAAAAGAAAACCAAGGTGGGAGGCAGCACAATCCCAGACTTCAAGCTGTATTACAAAGCTATAATCATCAGTATGGTACTGGCACAAAAACAGACACTCAAGACTAATAGAACAGAAGAGAGAACCCAGAAATGGACCCACAAACGTATGGCCTACTAATCTTTGACAAAGCAGGGAAAGAATATCCAATGGAATAGACAGTCTCTTCAGCAAACGGTGCTGGGAAAACTGGACAGCAACAAGCAAAAAAATGATCTGGACCACTTTCTTACACCATATACAAAAATAAACTCAAAATGGATGAAAGACCTAAATGTAAGGCAGGAAGCCATCCAAATCCTAGAGGAGAAAGCAGGCAAAAATCTCTTTGACCTCGGCTGCACCAACTTCTTACTCAACACGTCTCTGGAGGCAAGGGAAACAAAGGCAAAAATGAACTATTGGGACCTCATCAAAATAAAAAGCTTCTGCACAGCAAAGAAAACAATTAGCAAAACTAAAAGGCAACCGATGGAATGGGAGAAGATATTCACAAACAGCATTAGATAAAGGGTTAGTTAAAATCTATAAAGAACTTATCACACTCAACACCCAAAAACCAAATAATCCAGTGAAGAAATGGGCAAAAGACATGAATAGACATTTCTCCAAAGACATCCAGATGAACAAGAAACACAAAAAAATGGTCAACATTACTCATCATCAGGGAAATACAAATCAAAACCACAACGAGATACCACCTCACTCCTGTCAGAATGGCTGACATTAACAACTCAGGCAACAACAGATGTTGGAGAGGATGCAGAGAAAGAGGATCTCTCTTGCACTGCTGGTGGGAATGCAAACTGGTGCAGCCACTCTGGAAAACAGTATGGAGGTTCCTCAAAAAACTAAAAACAGAACTACCCTATGACCCAGCAGCTGCACTACTAGTATTTATCCAAGGAACACAGGTGTGCTGTTTCAAAGGGGCACATACACCCCAATGGTGCCAATGGTTTATGGCAGCACTATCAACAATAGCCAAAGGATGGAAAGAGCCCAAATGTTCATCGATGGATGAATAGATAAAGAAGATGTGGTATACATATATATATACAATGGAATATTACTGGGCAACTGAAAAGAATGAAATCTTGCCATTTGCAAACTATGTGGATGGAACTGGCGGGTATTATGCTAAGCGAAATTAGCCAGAGAAAGACAAATATCATGTGACTTCACTGATATTAAGAATTCAAGATACAAAACAGATGAACTAAGGGAAGGGAAGCAAAACTAATACAAAAACAAGGAGGAGGACAAAACATAAAAGATTCCTAAATACAGAGAACAGAGGGTTGCTGGAGGGGTTGTGGGAGGGGAGGTGGGCTAAATGGGTAAGGAGCATTAAGGAATCTACTCCTGAAATCATGGTTGCACTATAGGCTAACTAATGTGGATGTAAATTTAAAAACCAATTAACTAATTTAAAATACATAAGAACTGTATGTAAGGTAATCAGGTATAGAAAGAATGAGACAGGGTAGAAGGGCAAGTATTCCCAGAAGGCACAGAGACATTCAGGAAAACGGAGTTCAGAATGAGGTGAGGCAGTAATAATGCAGCTTTGCACTCAACTGCTCTTTCAGTCTAGGGGTCACACCAGGCACTCTACAGACACTTTCCAATTCAATCCTCATAACACCCCTGCAGGATGAATTCAGTAAATTATTAATTTTTAAATGTTTTATTTATTTTTGAGAGAGAGCACAAGCGAGTGCACGTAGGGCAGGGGCAGAGAGACACATGGAATCAGAAGCAGGCCAGACCCCGAGCTGTCAGCACACAGCCCAGTGCAGGGCTTGAACTCAAGGACCACGAGATATGACCTGAGCTGAAGTTGGACATCCAACCGACTGAGCCAACCAGACATCCCAGTAAACTTATTTTTTCATACAAGCAAATGAAAAGAAAAATCAAGCACCCTGAACTTAAAATCACACTGTAAGCAAGGTCCAGATTCACAGGGTCTAGATTCACACATACACTTTTCTAATGCTAAAGCCTAGTTTATTCAGCCAAAGCTGGAAAGAAATAACCACAAGCCTTACGTACCAATACTAACATTTTTAATGCCTTAAATGCCTTCCTGAATTATATTAAGTATTCTACCTAATAAAGCTTCCAGGTCTTGAACTGGTAAGTAATGGAATCCTACAATAAGGTCTGCAACATTTGGCCCCTGAGCCCAAAGAAGGCCCACCTACTGCAAGAAAGCAGCAAAGGTCCCAAAAGAGGCCAGATCTATCCTCTTTGATGGGTAAAAAGAGTAACTCTGAATCATGACCTTCTAGTTCCAAGAGACCCCTGGACTCCATCATCTTGGGTTCAGTAAGATACCTTTGTAGCCTTCATATAAACAGAGACAAATAAAACAAAACTCCGAAGAACTACACCCAGGATTTTACGCATCATTATGCAAGACCACGTTCTTGACCATCTTTAAACAAGAGGGGCGCCTAGGTGGCTCAGTCAGTTAAGCGTCTGGCTTCAGCTCAGGTCATGATCTCACGGTTGTTGAGAGCCCCACAGGGGGCTCTGTGCTGACGGCTCAGAGCCTGGAGCCTCCTTCTGTGTCACCCTCTCTCCTTCTCTCTCTCTCTCTCTCTCTCTCTCCCCCTCTCCTTCTCCCTCTCTCTCTCTCTGCCCGTCCCCTGCTTGCATTCTGTGTCTGTCTCAAAAATAAACATTAAAAAAAATTTTTTTGAACAATAATAACAAACGAAAACTAAGATAAATAACTAAACCAGGTAAATCCAGATGTCAAGGTCAGAAATCCAACCAAGGCATCCAACAATGCTTGGCATTTTCCTTCCCTCACTTTTGGATTTACTTACTTTGACCTCCATAGGGAGTTCCACCATAGAAACAAGCCACTGCCAGCTTTCTTGTGATGTCACTGAAGTCTCTGCTCACTTGATTTGCCAACTCCCTCGTGGGTGCAAGAACCAGTACCTGAAAAGGAAAAACTAATCACTGAATTCAAAGTATTATGCATTATTTTTTTTCATTAACAAATATGGAATTCATCAGAAGGTTCAACTCATCCTATCAAGTATTTTCAAAATATCTATTATGTACTTTGCAACATAGTTTCACATGGGGAAGGATCAAAATGTAGTACGGCCCTGAGAAATCTACTCAGAAGAAAAGTTTGTGATCCTACCAATCAGAAGAGATATAGATGCCCAAACACGCGGTGCTCCAGGAGGGCTGCCTGGAGGAGGCTGGAGGAACTGGGGAGTTTCATAGAGCTGCCAATACTTAAAAAAGGCATTCCAGGAAAGCAACAACTTGAGCATGGAGTAACACCACTGAGGTGTTAGTTAGTTAGTGTCTGTCAGTTAGGCGTCTGACTTCGGCTCAAGTCATGATCTTGCAGTTCGTGAGTTCAAGCCCCACATCGGGCTGTGTACTAACAGCTCAGAGCCCGGAGCCTGCTTCAGATTCTGTGTCTCCCCCTCTCTCTGCCCCTCCCCTGCTCATGCTCTGTCTCTTTCTGTCAATAATAACAAATAAATGTTAAAAAGTTTTAAAAAAAAGAAGAAAAGGAAAAGGAAAAAAACACTTTAAGGAGAACCCAGTAAACAAACTATACAATATATAAACAATGTCTAAGAAAGGTTTCTCCTGTGCAGATTTGGAGCCCCTGAGGTCTGTGTTAAAGATAGTTACCTGAGGCGCACGGCCTCTTTTCCGGTCTTGTAGTTCTCCCTGAAGTTTCTCAATCAAAGGGATGGCAAAGGAGAAGGTCTTCCCAGTTCCTGTTCGCGCCTGTGCAATTAAGTCCTTTCCACTATAAACATGGTGAAATGTCTTTGCTTGTATCGGAAACAGGAAGTTCACCCCACGGCCTGTGAACAAATTTACCACGTTACCTGACACTGCAGTTCTTAAAATCCCAGCCATGTTTCCAGTCCTAGAGAATTAAGGAATTCTACATTCTGGTCAATATCTACAAGGTCAGGTACCAATGCATTCTGGTAGTGAAGAATCTGCTTGACTGAAAAATATCAACAAACTTTAAAACACCAAATTAGGGGCACCTGGGTGGCTCAGTTGGCTGAACATCCAACTTGATTTTGACTCAGGTCATGATTCCAAGGTCCTGGGATTGAGCCCCACATTGGGCTCCCCACTTAGCATGGAGCCTGCTTGAGATTCTCTCCCTCTCTCTCTCTCCTTTTGCCCCTCTCCCCCCCTCTCGTGCTCTCTAAAAAATAAATAGAACACCAAATTATAGTAAACCTTTTTTTAAGAGTTTAGTTACTTGTCATGTAATCTCACCCATAGGTCATTAGAAGCCCCAAATCTGGATTCGCAGTCCAGACTATGCCACATCTGATTCAGAAAACACCTACTCACGCATCTGTGGCTACCTAGTTTGTTCAGAGGCACACCGCTAGGCTGAGTTCTGAGACAAGTTGGTATTATGAAGAAATGCCTCACAAAGTGGGAGAGAATAACAAAGAAAATAACATGGCATGAACCATTCATTGTACCAGTAAATCAGTCCTCACACTTCTAATACACATATTGGTTTGAATAAAATTTAATCACCTATTTAAGAGACAGCAAAGCCATCACTAGCATAGTCCTATACCATATATATAGATCTACGTCATTATGTGGTTCCATGTATCGTCCTTCATCTCAACAAAAATAGATGGAGTACTTCTAAATAATATTTTGTAACATTATACAATAGTTCCAAAAATATTACCTTTGAGAAGTTTAATGGTCCCTTCAGATATGGGAAAATTAGAGAAAGCTCCTTCTTTTTGTTCCACAGGTATTTCCTATCAAGCAAAGGGCCACAGAAAGAAATCAGTAACTTTAACCCCACAGGTAATCACAGAGAAGCCTTCTGAGAAAGAAACAAAAGAACCTATTTGAAAACATCTCTTCCAAATCAACCAAAAAGACACAGAAACTTTGGTAGGTAAACCAAGATCCAAAAAGGAAATCATAATCCTATTCAAGGTGGTCACCGTGGCATTATTTGACAGTAAAAAATTTAAATGCCCAATACAGAAATTAAGTGAGTTTCTGAACATTTATATAATGGATTATGGAACCAATAAAAATGTTTATTATTTAGGGGCACCTGGGTGGCTCAGTTGGTTAAACACTGACTTTGGCTCAGGTCATGATCTCATGGTTCGTAGGTTCAAGTCTCCATTGGGCTTTGTGTTGACAGCTCAGAGCCTGGAGCCTTGGATTCTGTCTCTCTCTCTCTCTCCCCCTCCCCCACTCATGCTGGTTTTTTTTCTTTCTCCAAAAAATAAATAAATAAGTAAACATTTAAAAAAAGAATATAATCTTTATATAAAGGTAGAAAAGGCAGGAGACAAGACTGCATATAGTGCAATCCTAATCTGATAAAAAAAAAAATGATAGTTATATATACAAAAAGTACTGTAAAGGAACATCAAACATTCAACAGGCTACCTCTGTACCTAATGAGTACTTAATATTTACTGAATTAATGAATGCTGAAATTCTAGGGACCTTTTTAGTAAATTTCTGTATTTTCTTTTTTTGTGTTTGTTTATTTATTATTTTGAGAGAGAGAGAGAGAGAGAGACAGAGAGAGAGTGAGTAGGAAAGGGGCAGAAAAAGAGAGGGAGACACAAAATGAGAAGCAAGCTCCAGGCTCTGAACCGGCAGCACAGAAGCTGACCTGGAACTCAAACCCAAAAACCAGGAGATCACAACCTGAGCCGAACTCAGATGCTTAACCACATGAGCCACCCAGGTGCCCCAAATTTCTATATTTTCTTAACTCTCTAAATCACATATCTATAATCAGAAAAAATTTTATTTACTTATTTATTGTGAGGGGCACCTGGATATGAATCAAGGAGAAAAAATTTCAAGGTTGATTATGACCTACACAAACAGATAATTATTAGAATTAGGATTTCTTTGATAACTGAGTTTCTGAAAGGTAACAGAACCTAGCTTCCAAGTGGACATTCAATCATCAGGTTCAACTTTAAGTTAGTTAACAGCCAAACAAAAACTTCTGCAAAATGAAACAAAAGCCTTTTCAGTGGCTCTATTAATCATGATTTTTTGGTGAAACCCCTGAGGGAAGCTAGGGCCTATTTGCATAATTATAATCCCTCCTTTTAATTTCTGACTTGCAAATAAGCAGACCAAGTGTGGAGAGAGGACATTCCCTAAACTTAAATAGACCAGCTTCTTTGCAAAGGAAACATTCTGACCCTAAGCTCTTAAGACGAGGTCTTAACCCTGAATGCAGGCAGCATGCAGCTCAAGGGACACCAACCCCAATGAAGTGTCAACACATCAAATTTTCTCCTGCTTTTAAATAATCTGGGTAGCAATTACCTACTGAAGCCACAATGAAAGATATGGTCCACAAAAAAAAACGCAACTTTACCTGCTCTAATTCACTGTTACTTTCTTCACTGGAGTTAGAGGCAGGTCCAGAATGAGGTAACCCATTCTTTAATTTGGAGCTTTTCTCTCCAATGTCTCCATTCATTTCCTTTTCTTTTTTCATCTTCTTTGGTTTAGGAGCACCTATTTCTTCTTCAGAAGGCTCCTCACTTTTTATCACTTTGTTGGTTTTAGGAGAAACGACTTTCTTTTCAAAGGATTCCTTTGGTTTCTTCACACTTTTGGTTTTAGGAGAAATAATGTCATCCTGAGATGGCTCGTCTTTCTTTTTTGCCTTTTTGGATTTAGGAGAATTCATGTCAACCTCAGAAGACTCAGCTTTCTTTTTAATTTTTTTAGCTTTGAGGGAAATAGTTTCTTCCTTTACTTCTGTTGCCTCTTCAGTCTTACTAGAATTTGGCTTTGGCTTCTCTTTTCTACCTTTCTAAAATAAATTAATAAAGAAGATACAAACTACTGAGCAAAGCATGTATACATCTGCATGATACATTAATTCTGGATTATTCCAAGATCATGTAATTATGAAGAACACAATTTGGGGGCATTTTTCAACATTTGTACCTTCTCCTGTAGTAAGGCAAAACACAATGCTTTTTTAGTACCATTTCTTAGTTATATGGAAATAAGCAGTATACATCAATTATTTCATTATCTCAGAAGAGAATGCCTCTTGGTAACTATTCAATTCACGTTGGTTGAACAAGTTGTAAAATCAAATTTTCATAAGGGATTCGGGGTGACTCATAGGATGCTCCAAGAGCTGTAGAGGTTTAACTACAGAAAGTGGTCAAGTACTGTTTAATTTAATTCTAGAAGAACTATAAGGCCATAAATGTCCACAGATGGGATGATATGAAGCAGATTTCTTTCTCTGCTAGAATTCCTGTACCGGTAAAACAGGGATTCATAATATCTGTCTCGGCTATCTGACAAGTGCAAATGAATTTACAGAGGCACTTTATGAACCAAAAAGCTATAGAATCCCACAATCTATCATCCCACATGATTAAGAAAAAAAAAAAAAAAGAAAAAAATGATCTAACTTAAAGAGGAAAAAAACCCACAAGTTACTAGGAAATGGCATGGGTGAAACCTCAAAGCCAAATCAGACTATGGCTCCTACCTGAAACGTGTGACCTTTCCCAACTTTTCCTATTACTGAAAATTAATTACTTAATATAGCCAAAATCAAGTAGACAGGTGCTTAGCCTCTGTAAAAACCTCTCCGAAAGGCCCAATCCCAGAAATATGAAGGCTATAACATTTAGCTGAAATCAGTCTCTCTCAAACGTCAGGCCCCGCCTCTGCTCTCAAATCATGGATGAGTGTGATCTTTCCCACATGATCATCTTTCAGACATTTGAAAAGTAATCTGGTCTCCCCACAAGACTTCAGTTCTTTCATTCCTTCGTTCCACTGAGAGGATTTCCTAACCCAATGGCCTCTCTTGGAATGTTAACGGTGTTTGACCCTGTCCCTCTTCACTTGACCATCCCACAACTGAATACCTTCACTGATGCTGAGCAGGTAAACCAGGACCACTTCCTCCTCACCTGTGGGGACAAGCCTGTGCTCCCTCAGCTTCCTACAACGCCAAAATATTGCTGTTGCAAAAGCTCCCCATCAAAAAGACCCATAAACATCCAAGGGAAAAAAATTCTAAGTCATGTACAATGCAAATTCAGGGCCAATCTTTGTTCTCACTGACTGACCTTATCTAAGAACAGAGACTCAGTCACAAGTGAAATCACTAAAGAAGTAACAGTAAGGAGGCGGACAGGTATCAAGGTAACCTAAGGCCACTACATACTGCTGGCCTCTATAAAAAAAAAAACAACGGTGTACCGTTAGCACAACACACTGTTACATTTCCAAGGGAAATCTGGTCAACAGACATTAAGCCGAACTGAACTACTTCATCTTCGAAAAGCTGCTTACCGAAGAACAAACTGTATTTCGCGTACTACTATAGTAAAATGTCACGGCTGACGCCGCCCACGTGTGCAGGTGGGTTTGAGGTGTGGCTAGTCTAAGCTAAAGCTTCAGGCTCTACCTGGACTGACAATTCCCTCCGCGCACGCTCAAACCCCGGGTTAGGTCTGAGCCTGAGCCAGCAACGTGGGGCCCAACCGTGAACACCTAACTGCGCACTAGGTGCGGGGCACCCAGACTGCAGAACCACGTGGGAGCGGTGCTCACCCCAGCTCGGTCCACCTGGGCCGCTCGCGGACACCGCTCGCTCCCCGGCGCCCCCCGGCCGAGCCCCACGCCAGGCTCCGGGCGCGCCGGGTCCGCATGTGAGCCACAGGCTCCTTAGCCGGGCATCCCCCCATCCTGTACCCGGCTCCTCTCAGGGCCCTAGGTCCCTCAGCCCTCGGTGGCACCTTCGCATTCTGCTTTCGCGGTGTCTCCACTTTTTCCATGGCCGTGTCTGAATCCAAATCCACGTCACTAAGGAGTTTCCCCGGCATCTTTCAGGACAAGCAACTCAGGCCGACCGGTCAGTTCCACCGCGTGGAGAGGAAGAGAGTGTTCCTCCCACTCAGCCCACCCACTTTCGTCACTTCCGGTAGCAAAGCATTTCCTGCGGAAGCAGAAAATCCCAGCCAGGCCACAGCCAACTCGGTAGTGCAGGAGCACCTGCCGCTCCCGATGGCTGCGCGTAGTGAATTGACTGCTCACAAGGCCTGCAGAGTCCAACCGGGAGAAACCGCAAAGGTTAGCAAACACTAGTCAGATTCTACCTAGCCCCGACCTGATAAATAACTTGTTTTTCGGTGGTGTCTCTTCAGTGTATATGTTAGATTGCTGGAGTTTGCAAAATCCTTTAACGCACAGACGCGAGAATTTTTTTTAAATGTTTTATTTCTGAGAGAGAAGGAGAGAGGGAGAGAGACAGCATGAACAGGGGAGGATCAGAGAGAGAGGGAAATACAGAATCTGAAACAGGCTCCAGGTTCTGAGCTAGCTGTCAGCACAGAGCCTGATGTGGGGCTCGAACCCACAAACCGTCAGATCATGACCTGAGCTGAAGTCGGACGCTTAACCGACTGAGCCACTCAGGCGCCCCGAGAAGTGTGTATTCTTGATCACCTGCGGAAACGTCGACACCAAAAGGAGATGCCGAGACTCAAAAGCCTGGATAAGAACTAGAATTCAGTCGGATATGGTCATTCCTTCCTGCGTGCACGTAGACATCCCTGAACATTCAGTGTCAGGTGTCAGGAGAAACAAGGCTAGGATTCAGTTAACAGACAATATACAATACTTGTCATCAAGAACTTTTATACACTCGTGGGAAATAGAGGAGTATCGGTTGTTCTGAAGACACAGAGAGGCACCCGAGCCTGCCTTAGCACCAGTAGAAAGAGCACCCAAACCACATGCACCTCTATGAGAAAATACAAGGGCACCTAGGTGGCTCAGTCAGTTGAGTGTGGGACCTAGGCTCAGTTCATGATCTTGGGGTTCCTGAGTTTGAGCCCCAAGTCGGGCTCTGTCTCCCTCTCTCTTTGCCCCTCCCCTGCTTGTGCTCTCTCAAAAATAAAACATTAAAATTTTAATTAAAAAAATACAGGGCTCTAAATCTTGCATAATTGAGGCAATATATTAATTCGAGGAGTTGAGGATAGTGGTCCATTGAGTGATCTATGACAATGTTACCAAACTCTGAAGAACTAGTGATCCAAAGAATTGGGAGTCATTTTTAAAAATCCGTTTAAATCACACCTGGCTTTGAAAGCCTGCACTGCTTGGTATTTGATTTTGCACACATTACTTAGTCTGCACCTGAGTTTCTCCTGCATGAAATCAGGATAACAAACTTATTTCATGGGCTGAAAAAATTATGTAAGATAATGAATGAAAAGGGGTTAGAAGTGTCTGGCACCTAAAGCACAATAAATGAGAGCCATTAAGACTTATAGATATTTAAAAAGACAACTTAAAATGTAATCATTTTATGACAAGTAAATGCAGAAGTTTTATTTCTCTATTTCATAAGATTAGTTTTTACTGCACATTTTAAAATGACAGTTTAATGGAAAATTTTCATGTTTCACATAAAACTGTTACTTGATGTTTCACAGTCTCAGTTTTTTAACAGGTAAATTTATGTAAATGTACAGCAACTCTTTCTTTAACTTATACTCTGCGATATCTTTGAGCTAGGAACCTTCATTGGTAAAGTTTTGTATCCCAAAGGTTTCAAACAGTGCCTGGTACATAGGCACATAGTAGATTGACACTAAAAATTGATTGACCATTAAAAGGGCAATGTTGGGGTGTGGGGAAGAGAAGTAAATCTCTTGAAATAAATTTTAACTGTATGCCCAGGCAGGAAAGCAATTCAGTCATCCTGGTATTAGGTGTAGAAGCAGGAGGAAGCATGAATGCAATCAACCAACTGATAAAATGTTTAACATCTAGGATTTCGGCATTGTATGTGGGACTTTGGAGTACCTTAGTGAAGGCCCAGTCCATCCCTTAAGGAACCTCTATGACACTGCAATAAACAATACAGGGACATTTTTATTACCAATAGATGTTGAACAAGTGAGTTGAACAAGTAGAGAACACTACTTAATGGAAAACTGTTGTCAAGACTTAGAAAATATGTAATTTCCTTTGTAATATACCTGCACATAGGCATAAGGCCAAAAGTCTAAGAGGAAGCATGCAAAGGCCCTTTTTGGCTCAAAGGGAGCCAAATTACTGTATTAAATCTAGTTATCAGTATAAAATTCAGCAACAAGTAGAAAAAAAATAGGTCTTATATATACATTTGATTGGAAAAGTAAAGTTCTGGATATTGATTCTGTCAGACCAGTTTCCTCTGATGTAGATAACACCGTGTTTTCACAAAATGGTGGGAGGATTTCTATTTCAGAAAGTATGCGTGCACGCGCATGCGCACGCACGCACATGCGCATACACACACACACATTCAAAAGTCTGCACAACAATATGTTAGCAGTAATTATCTGAGTGATGGGATTATGGATGGTTTTTATTTTCTGCCATTTGCTCCTCTATTTTTTCAAATTTTCAACAATGGACGCATATTACTAATATGAAAAAAGGATTATGATTTAAAAAACCTTATTAAACACTACCCACAAAACATGTGAAACAAAACCTATGTGAGAAGAAGCTCTCATTCACACCTAAATGTGAATTCATTATTCAAATTTCTAATGCTGGAGGAAATAAAACAGACATTTATACAAGTTCAAAAACTGAAGATCTGGGTGACTGATTTAATTAAATTCAAATAGCTGTTAAGTGGCCACACTAGGGCACAAATACCAAACAGAAGGCTCTGAGTAGCCAAAAGATGGAAGCATGAAGGTGCTGTGCTCTATGAGGTAAGAGCAAAGGGGCTAAATGCAGCCCAAAGCTGAGAATTCTGCCTCCGCTTCTTCTAGAAGGTATGGAAAGCGATTAATCTTCTTAGGACCTGCCCCATCTTCCTTGCTAATAGGGAAGCCAGCCTTTAGCAAGTGGACCCCTAAAATCTACCTCTACCCTGCTATCACACCCCTACATGCTTATCTTTTTCACTCACTTCCCTGAAAGTGGGTTTCAAAACAAGGCCTACAAAGCCTTCTGAGATATGACCTTACCTTGTTCTCATCACTGATTTCCTCACAGTGAGAATCCCAGCAATGAGAGCAATTTCTTGTTCACCATACTGAGACCTTTTTTTATTAGCTATTCTATGCCTCTGCCTGGATGTTCATTCCCACTTTGCTTCTTTTACCTGATTTAATTCATTTTCAATCATCATGTCCGAAAAGCTTTGTCCAGGGGCGCCTGGATGGCTCAGTCAGTTAAGTATCCAACTTCGGCTCAGGTCATGATCTCATGGTTCATGGGTTCGAGCCCCGCATCGGGCTCTGTGCTGACAGCTCAGAGCCGGGAGCCTGCTTCGGTTTCTGTCTCCCTCTCTCTCTGCCTCTCTCCCACTTGTGGTCTGTCTCTGTCTCTCAAAAATAAATGTAAAAAATATATATATATCCTAATGGCAAAAAGCTTTCTTTGAACTCCTACCCCCATTCCTGGGCTGGGCTAAGTGCCCTTATGCAGAGCTCTCAAAATGATTGCACTTAGTCATTGCCATGGACCTAGGTTTAGGTGACCATTTATTTCACTAGATTCTAAGCTACTGAGGGCAAAGACCAGGCACACATTATTCACCTTTGTACCCCGAACATGGTGCCTGGGGCATTGTTGGTATACAACATACTCTGACTGAAGTACTAGTACTCATGCACTTTTGTAGGAATGGAGCCCCTATTTCACCTTCAAAAATCTTCATATCACATCTTCATAAACTCACAGCTCACAACTACTCACATGCAGAGTCAACTGACACTTCCCCCCTCCCCACCCCCAGTCATGGCTATCCGGAACCCCATTTCCCATAATCAAAACTTTCCCCTTTCTCAATCCAGCACTGAGTCCTCCCCACACACCCCGGCTTAACTGAAATCTGGCTCTTGCTGAAAAATACTATTCCTGCAGCTCTCCCACACATGTTGCTCAATCCCCATATCCCATGTACCCTGGTATCCATGTCCTCTTCTTTTCCTCAAAACCACTTCCAAACTATTGCTCCTTCACTATCATGTAAATGCCCTTTTCCCCTTGAAGATACGTGGCAATATCACCCTATACTCTTTCTTGTTCACATAACTTAAACTCTGCCATTCACTGGCTTAGTCTTCCTCTCCCTCCTCAGTCCTAGAGACTTCACTGTCCACGAAAACACCCAAAGGATGCTGGATTCTCTTCTTTGACCATCTCATCTGAAATGACCTTTGCCCCTCAACAGGCCTGCTACCAAACCCTGCACTTGTCTTCTCCCCAACTGCTCCACTCTTGAAACCTCAGAGAACTTTCAGTGACCTTCAGGTCCTAGCCCCTTCCATCTTCTCCGTTATCAACCCTACCTCCACTTCAATCCCTAGGCATTCTAGACTCCATGGACCATTACTCCAGTCACTTTTGCCAAAGTTCTTCATCCTTTCATCTCACAGAGCAAAACCCCAATCCTGGATCAATCAGGCATCTCCCATCTCCATTCCTACAACAGAATATCAAACGTTACTACAGGAAATCACTCAAGTGCTCTAATTGCTGCCAGAATAAATGAAGTCTCTAATCTCACCTGGACCCTCAAAGCTGCCTGTGACCCTCAGTTTGCCTAGTAAGCAATCTTGTTCTACAGGTGATACCTCACCTTTTCTCCAGTTTCTCAGATCTCCAAGCCTGCTACTTCCCTCTTCACCCTCAGATGACCATGAAAGAATACCACAGAAAAAAACAGAAGACATCAAGCAGGCACTCCCTCAACTTTTTACCTTAACACCTGCAAACTCACCTACATGATAATCGTACTTTCCTCCTGGCAAAATGTGCTTCTACCTCTAATGCTAAATTCTCGCTGCTTAAGTTCAATCCTCCAAGTCTTCATAGAGATCTTGTTCCATCATATGTTCTTTCTCTTCCTCCCTCCTTTCTGGCTCCTTCCTGTAGTAGTATCCCATGCTCTTTACTTCCCTCATCCTCCCCTAGCACACACATACAAAAAGTTCTGTCATCTCATGTCATTTCTTTCAATCCAGCTTTAGTTTATTCTTCCCTATTCACAGCCAGATTTCTGGAAGACAGATTTGTTGTCCTTACTTTATCTCTCATTTCCTCCTAAAGCCACTGTTCAGTGGTTTCTACTCTCAATGCTTTATTACTATGGTTGTTCCCTATGTCAAACGTCTCCTTTTTGCCAAATCCAATGGCCATCTCAGACTCATCTTCTGGTTCCTCTGAAAGCCTCATACTTCTGGGCCTTATGCCTTCTTACCTCTTCTTGATGGTGATGGAATTCCCTCCTCTGTTATGTAGTAAATACATTAGTTTGCTTCTGGGTCTACTCCTTAGTCCTCTTTTCTTACTATACTTTCCCTAGACAAGCTCTTCCACTGCCTTAACTACAATTACCATTTTTTTTTTTATTATTACCTAATCTTTACACCTCTAGATCTCTCTCCTGCTTTAAACTTACAAATTCAACTGCATACTGTTTACCTCCTCTTATATCTTCTTTTTAGATCTCATGGCTATTCGATATTAAAATATATCTAATACTGAACTAATCATATCCCCCTTCCCTCCCCACATAACTTTACTTGTTCTTCTTCCTAGTACCTTATCTCAGTGACAAAAATCTGTTTTATTCTTCTGCATCTCTCTCATCTTCCAATTCAATTAAGTACTGAGTCCTACCATTTTATTTCCTAAAAACTTTGGGGATGCCTGGCTGGCTTGTTGGCGGAGCAGGTTAACTCTTAATCTTGGAGTCGTGAGTTCAAGCCTCACTTTGAGTATAGAATAATAAACTTAAAAAAACAACAACAAAACTTTGGAAATCTATCCATGTTTCTCAATGTCACCCACCACTAGTTAGCACAGTGGTTAAGAATGCTGGTTCAGAAGGTAGACTTATCTGGGTTTAAATCCTCACTCCACTACATATGATCCAGCTGGGATTCTGGACAAGTAATAAGCTCCCAAATGCCTCAGTTCTTATCATCAAAATGTTACCTACTATTAATGCAGACCAGCATCATCTCTACCTTGGATTCTTCCAACAGCATCTTAAGAGGTCTCCTTACCTCCAATCTTGTTCTTCTCTAATCCAGCCTCTTCAGTGTAGCCAATAATCTTTTCTAAAACACAAATCTCATTATGTCATTCCTTACTTTAAATCATTTAATGGTTGACTACAGTCTTCAAGAGAACGTTTAAACTTAACAATGCATACAAGGCCTTTAAAATCAGGTCCCTGTTAAATACTAAATTGTTCTCTCTTATTCCTGCCCTCTGCCTGTCACATGCAAACCATACTGAACTAATTGTAGGTCCTCAGACTTACTATGGTATTCTTTGGCTCTGGTTATTTGCATATGCTGTTCTCCCTGCCTGCAAACGCTCTCCTTTCTGAACTCTTCTTCCCACCATTCACACATACTTGCTTAGATCAACAGATACTTTTGATTTACTTCTTCTCTTGGGTGTCACTTCTTGAAAGCCTTTCTGACTCCTAAGACTGGTTTGGTATACCCGAAGAGGTCCTTAACATTCCATCCTACCTACCTTAGCCTTTAGATGTTAATCTCATTCATAACTGTTTGTCTTTAGACTCTAAGTTCCTTGAAGATAGTGCTGTGCCTTGTTCACCACTACATCTCTAGTGATCAACACAGTGATAGGCACATAGTAGACTTCAATCATTATCTGGTGAATAAATTATTTTTTTTTTTTTGGTGAATAAATTACTGAACATACACTGCTTGCACACTTTTTTAATTAACTATATCTAGAATTTAAATGTTATGCCTAACCAATCAAGTCTCCAGTTTATACAGCCCTTTAATGTGGAAGGGATTTCTTTTCTACTACATAGCCTATGAAAGGAATGATCTGAATACAAATACACCACATTTTTCAAAATCCAAGTAATCTTAAGATTAATTTGACTGTCATGTTTTAGAAGAAACCATAGGTTACAATGACAAAATTCTTAACACATAGTGAAAAGAGACAATAAAAGGAGGTTTTTTTATTCAAAGGTATAACTGGATAAGTAGATTTGTTTACAACCATTCTTGTGAAATACTTTTTAAAAAAATATGACCAACTTCTTTGCAAAGAGCAGACACACACCTCAACTATGATGACCTAATTTTTGGTGGATAATGTACATGATTAGGCAGAAATAGGCAAGCTCACACTGGTAGGTAACTATCAAATACTCAGTCAAAACTCCGTTTGTGGCCCCCGCTTCTTGATCGATTTCTATTCCCACTTCGTCTTCTACCATCTTGTCGACTTCCTGATCGACTCCCCTGTCGACTCTGTCTACCTGACCGGCCACCAGATCGACCACCTGACCGGCCCGACCGGCCCGACCGGCCACTTGACCAGCCACTCCTCTGCCTGGAGTTAGAAGATGTGTTTCCATCATAATATTCTTCAATTTCAGGTAACTTGGCTGGCAATGAAAGTATCCAGTCTGAATCATGCCACTCTGCCTGTTGGGGGAATTCAGAGGATTAATATAAATGCAAAATAGAAAACATAAGCAAGCATACTAGGTACAGGAGATTCTTTTTTTAATATCCATTAACTACTAGCTAAAGGCCATCTTTCCATTAAATTCAAAGTTTCTGGAACAAAATTGAAAGCCAGAAAACAAAAATAAAAACATATTCAAAGTACATCCATTTAAGTTCCTAAATTTTAGTCTTAGGAGAAATTCTTAGGCTCATTTTGAGGCTCATAATTTCATAGTTTATATATTCTAAAAGAGAGCACTGATTTCTTGGCACTAAACAAGTAGGCCATTAATAAATACTGTATTTCTTTTATCAGTTATATTGACAGAAGCAAGAAGTGAGAGCTAATGATGGAGATTAAAACCTGTCAACACAGCTGAGGACAAAAATATGTAGCCATTGGAAATAATTTGGTGTCAGGGTAAACAACTCAAGACATACAAATCAGCGCTCTTAAAAGCTCTTAAAAACATAAAAAAAACTATGTTATACCCTGCTACATTAACTGTTCATTGTGATCGTTGAGTTGCCAAGGAAAGTGAATATTAAAATACCCTGTTGGTAAGAGCAAGCAGAGACAAACACACATACCACTGGTGGCAATATATGACCAAAGCCTTAAAAATGCACAAACTTTCTGGCCAAGCAATCATCTTAGAAAATCATCTTATATCATATGTTTTGACTCATGTGGAATTTGAGAAACTGAACAGAGGATCACGGGGGAAGGGAAGGGGAAAAAATTAGTTTCAAACAGAGAGGCAGGCAGACCACAAGAGTCTTAAATACAGAGAACAAACAGGGTTGAGGGAGGGCGGTGGGGAGGGAAAAATGGGTGATGGGCATTGAGGAGGGCACTTGTTGGGATGAGCACTGGGTGTTGTATGTAAGCAGTAAAGTATGGGAATCTACTCCCAAAGCCAAGAGTATACTGTGTACATTGTATGTTAGTTAACTTGACAATAAATTCTATTGAAAAAATAAATTAATAATTTTTTTAAATGTTTTTTATTTATTTCTGAGAGAGACAAAGAGAGCATGGACAGGAGAGGGTAAGAGAGAGGGAGACAAGAATCTGAAACAGGCTCCAGGCTTTGAGCTGGGTGTCAGCACATAGTCCGACGTGGGGCTCGAACCCACAAACCACGAGATCATGACCTGAGCCGAAGTCAGACACTTGACTGAGTCACCCAGGTGCCCCTAAATTATAATTAAATGAGGAGTATCTTAGGGGTACCTGGGTGGCTCAGTCAATTAAGCTACCGACTCTTGATTTTAGTCATGATATCAGGGTTCATGAGACGGAGTCCCACATTACACTCTGTTGCTGACTGCTCGGAGCCTGCTTGGGATTCTCCCTATCCCTCCCTGTGCCCCTTCCCTGTGTGCACATGTGCTCTAAGTAAATAAATAAACATTTTAAAAAAAAAATCATCTTTGGGCCCTGGGTGGCTCAGTCAGTTTACTGTTTCGGACTCGATTTCAGCTTGGGTCATAATCTCACGGTTCATGAGTCTGGGCCCCAGGTTGGGCTGTGCTGGCAGCTAGAAGCCTGCTTGGGATTTTCTCTCTCTCTCTCCCTCTGCCCTTCCTCCACTCATATATTTTCTCTCTCTCTTTCTTAAAATAAATAAACTTAAAAAAATTCATCTAGGGGCACCTGAGTGGCTCAGTTGGTTAAGCTTCTGACTCTTGGCTTCAGTTCAGGTCAAGATCTCGTGGTTGATGGGTTCAACCCCATGTAAGGCTCTATGCTGACAGGGTGGAACCTGCCTGGGATTCTCTTTCCCTCTCTCTGCCCCTTCCCTGCTCTCTCTCAAAAAAAGATAAACATTTTTTTTAGACTCATCTTAAAGAGATAAACATGGCAATGCATAAAGAGTTAACTATACTACCCCTTTCTGATGGTGACAACCTGACCAAAAGAACAAGCCCCTCACAAAGGACCTCCTATACCCAGCCCCAGAAAAGAGGAAGGACAAAAAGAAGCACCTGGTGCAGAGCCCCAACTCCTACTTCATGGATATGAAGTACCCTAGGTGCTACAAAATCACCATCTTCAACCACACACAAACAAGTGGTGGTGTGCGAGGGCTGCTCCACCGTCCTGTGTCAGCCAACAGGAGGAAAAGCAAGGCTTACAGAAGGATGCTCCTTCAGACAGAAACAGCATAAAAGCACCCTGAACCAACACAAGTGGGAAACTATCCTAATAAACAGATTTTGGATTAAAAACCAAAAAAAGAAGAGTTAGCTATACCATCATTCATGGCTGTCCTGTTTATAACAGTATATTATTGGAAATAACCTAAATGTCAGAAAACAGAACATTAAGAAAAGTTGACCAAAGGTGCCTGGCTGGCTCAGTTGGTAGACCATGTGACTCTTGATCTCAGGGTCATGAGTTCAAGCCCCACATTGGGCATGGAGCCTACTTAAAATTAAAAAAAAGAGCAAAGTTGACCACCCATATGACCTAATGCAGGGAGCTATTAAAAAAGGAATGTGTTCACAATATATTCTAAATTTTTAAAAAGACTTAAAAAACAGAATACCCAAATACATACTGTGCAACAGTCAAATTCTATACTGTAAGAATCTAGTAGACAATCTCTTTCTTCAACAAATACAAGAAAAATTTTTTAAAGTGGCAGAGAAAGGAGCAAGAAACTACAGATTAAAAGAGACTTAGGAAACATTAAATTATAACGTATGGGACTTCTAAGATATTCAGGAGATTAAAAAAATAAAAATACTTAGGAGACAATAGGGGAAATTTAAACACAAAACTGGGTGATATTAAGGAATTATTATTTTAGGGATTTGAACTATAGCATTATGATTATATTTTTAAAAAGTATCCCTAATAGGTATATGGAAATATTTATGGTGAAATGATAGAATACCTACAATTTCTCTCAAAATCATACATACAGGAGAGTAGGAAAATGGATGGAAGGGACATGAAACAAACCAGCTGTGAGCTGATCACAACTGAAGCTGATTGATAGGTACATGAATATTCATTATGCAATTCTATTTTTTTATATTTGAAATTCTATACAATAAAAAATGTTTTAAATGATGATATAGGCTAGATATATTACATAAAGGAAAGTTAATTGACTTAGGCATCATAATGATATTGTGACTTCTTTTAAATGACTATTTTAAATAGTTAAATATTCAACTATTTAACATAATATTTTTAAAATACCTGTAACCTTTCTGACTCAGTTGTAGGAACGTCAAAGCAAACACCCTGAAAGCAAAATGAAAAAATTTTTATTTAGATGCAGATGAGTTGAAATTTACTAATACTTGCTGGTAATCTTACAGTAGCTTAAAAAAAAAAGGGGGTGTGTTCCATGAATGCTTATAAGATTAAAACAACATATAAATAATGCATGAGAATGGCTGTTTACTGTATTTTCTAAATCTGAAAAGTAAATACAATACCCAACAGGAATCTACTACTAAAAATGTAAAGTATTCTCTAGAAAAGTTCTTGTAGACACTTTAATGTTGTTCCATGTCCACTGTAAAATGATCCATGTAATAAATTCTTTGGAAAATTTAGTGCTGGAAAGTTTCTATCCTGAAGAGATGCAGTAATTATCACTTAATGATATGATATAACCCAAGATGTTTCTTCTTTGATACTGCTGTCAATAAATTGAAAGATACTTTAATTCTCAAGTACAGCAACTAGTCTGGCCTAAAGATCTTGTTAGATTTTCCCTGCCCTTCACATTTTTCCTGAATGTGCATCTCATATTTGCCACAAGACGTTTTTTAATGTAACATTAAACTTTGAGAGAAATGATTATTTCCAATAAATAATAAAGTTAATAAAGTCTAGACTAGAATAAATCTATGTAGCAGAGTTGGATGAAAAAATATAACATCTTTTCTCAAAACCATTAGAAGAAACAGTCACTAAGATCAGAAATGGTTTTAACTTTGCTATTTCAAGAATGTATTAGCAACCACAGCAGGCCACTTAAAAGTCAACACTGCATATTCTCTAAATAACAGAGCTGTTCAGCTGTTGAAATTATAAGTTATTTAGTCATAGAGTAAAACACATACAACCACAGATAATATGTGTACAAGAGCAGAAACTTAGATAACTTGGATATTAAACAAACTAAGCAGAATGACTTACAGCTTTCTAGAGAAGTTATTTATTTATATAACTCCCCAAATTTACAACTGGAAGTAATCCATCACACAGAGAAAACTGTATTATGCACCCTATGAGAATTGAAAAAAAGAAAGAAACAAAATCTCCTGGTCTTCAGAAACATTTATAGTAGTTGATTAAAAAGCTTTTTATTTGTCTAGAAAAACCTACCATATTTCCTTTTAGGAGGCACATTCTGGTAATTTGGGACACAGCATTACTACTCAGTTTTCTGTTAAGTTCTTTCCAAGCACAGTTGACATCCTGGATTTCTTCTGGGCTTTCCAGAGTCATGGTCACAAACCCCTTAAAAATTAAAAGTCACATTATCTTTGGAGAAAAAAAGCAGCAAAAGCAGGACAATGAAGTTCTAACTTTATGACCTAACTGTACATTTTTCATGAGACATCAGTATTACATGGCTGCTAAAAATATAACTTTTTTAAAAATATTTTTAAAAATGTTTTTTATTTATTTCTGAGAGAGAGAGACAGCGTGAGCAGGGGAGGGTCAGAGAGAGGGGGAGAAACAGAATCTGAAGCAGACTCCTGGCTCCGAACTAGCTGTCAGCACAGAGCCCAATGCAGGGCTCAAACCCACGAACCGTGAGATCATGACCTGAGCTGAACTTGGACATTTAACCGACTGAGCCACCCAGGTGTCCCAAAAAATAACTTCTTTGAAACTTTATTAATAGAAGACTAATGTTTACAGATCGTTGAAAGAACCATTCTTCTTTGTATTGCTGTAAAGACTCATGATTTAAGAAATAATCAGAGCTTGAGAGAAAAAAACAAAGTAATAAAGAATTAAGAAAATGCTGAAAGAGTCAAAGCTTGGCGTGGAAAAACAAGAAGATATAAATATCTCTAAACTTTTTTTTTAATGTTTATTATTTTTGAGAGAGAGACAGAGCATGAGCAAGGGAGGGGCAGAGAGAGAGGGAGACAAAGAATCCAAAGCAGGCTCCAGGCTCTGAGCTGTCAGCACACAGCCCGAAGCAGGACTTGAACTCACAAACCATGAGCTTATGACGTGAGCCAAAGTCAGATGCTTAACCGACTGAGCCACCCAGGTGCCCCTAAATCTCTTTAAACTTTTGAAGGACTATTACATATGCAAAGATTACTTGTTCCGTAAAACTTCACTGGACAGCAAAAGGATCAGCATGAAGAAGATACAGGGAGGGAGTCATGTAGTAATTTTTTTAAGTAAGCTCTAAGCCCAACAGGCAACTTGAACTCACAACCCTGAGATCTAGGGTACCATGCTCTACTGACTGAGCCAGCCAGGGTCCTCTCATTTATCTAAGAAATATCTACTGACTGTCCCCTATGTATGTGCCAGAGTCATACATAGTAGGTGCTGAAGGTTTAGCAGTAAAGAGTCCTTTCTCTCATGAAGGTTATATTCTCGTATTGGGAGTAGGGGTGGTGGTGATGACATGGGGTAGGTAGTAAACAAATAAGCAAACGTAAAATGCCAAATAGTAATAAGCATCATGAAGAGAAAGAAAGCAAGACAAGGAAATTGAGAGCAAAGGGAAAGGTAAGCTATTAGACAGGGGTATAGCTCAATGGTAGAGCATCTGACTGCAGAGTGATCAGGAAAGACCTCTATAACACAGTGGTATCTGAAGAGAGACCTAAATGAAGTGAAGGGGGAAACCACGTGGTAAAAAGAAAGAATATATGAAACAGTGCAAGTAAGTGCAAAGGTCTTGTGTGGAAGTAGGTTTACGCTTGAGTAACAAGTAGCTTAGGGTAGCTGAAACAGGCAAGGGGAGAGTGTTAAGTGATGAGGTCAAAGAGGTACAGAGGGGAAGACCCTATAGGGCATGTGTGGTAAAGACTTTGGATCTTGGTTTAACCTATAAAAAAAATTTCAAACCCACTAACACTGTTTCTAAGATATTTAATCAGAAGTTAGATGACCCATCTGCCAAAGAGGGATCCCTTTATTAGATAAGGGCTGGGAATAAATGATCTCTTAGGTACTCCTTTGCCTAAAAGTCTATCAACATTTTCCTAAAAAATATGTTTTAAGTATTTTCCTAAGAAGTATTTGGTGGCAGGGTGCCTGGGTGGCTCAGTGGGTTAAGCAACTGACTCTTGATTTTAGCTCAGGTCATGATCTCAGTTTTGTGAGTTCAATCCCTGCATCGGGCTCTGTGCTGACACTGTGGAGCCTCCTTGGGACTCTTTCTCTTACTCCTCCCCAATTCACACTCTCTCTGTCTCTCTCAAATAAATAAACTAAAAATAATCATAAAAATAAATAAAAAATAATTACAGAAAGTAAAAGATACCTTCACAGAGGGAATACATGGCAGTTTTCCATTGTAAACAAGTGATCAAACTAAGCAATTTTAATACTGAAACAATCTGACATCATATGCCTCCTGATGTAATATAGTATAAAATACATAGTATCACCCACAGGGTACTTTGGCTAAAACTATTTAACCTGAATATAAAATCACACTTTGACATTACTTCTAATTTACAGGAAACTTTCTTAAATAAAGGCAAAAGTTATGTGATGTATGAAAAAGAGAAAACCAGGGGCACTTGGGTGGCTCAGTCTGTTAAGCATCTGACTTCAGCTCAGGTCATGATCTCACTGTTTGTGGTTCGAGCCCCGTGTCCAGCTCTTTCTCTGCCCACCCCCTCCCTTGCTCACACTGTCTCTGTCTCTCAAAAATAAACAAACATTAAAAAATTAAAAAAAAAAAAAAAAAGAAAACCAGAAAAATTCAGGTGAGAAATTTTAGACTCTGATCTAGACAACTAACCTATACTCTTTAAAAAAAATAACAGAAAAGATGGGAAAACAGCTCCAGATTAAAAGAAACGTAACACCAAATATAATATATGAACCTGAATTGGATCCTGACGGTTTTTTAAAAATGTTCATCTGTGGGGCACCCGGGTGGCTCAGTTGGTTAAGTGTCTGACTTCAGCGGAGGTTTGTAGGTTCAAACCCCGTGTCGGGCTCTGTGCTGACAGCTAGCTCAGAGCCTGGAGCCTGCTTCAGATTCTGTGTCTCCCTCTCACTGACCCTCCCCTGTTCTCTCTCTCTCTCTCTCTCAGAAATAAATAAAACATTAAAAAAAAATTTTTTTTTAATGTTCATTTGTTTGAGAATGAGAGTGAGTGGGGGAGGGGCAGACAGAGAAGGAGAGAGAATCTTAAGTAGGCTCCGTGCAGAGCGCTATGGGGGGCTCGAACTCACAAACCGTGTTATCATGACCTGAGCCATGATTGAAAGTCGAACAGACAACCAACTGAGCCATTCAGGTGCCCCAAGTCCTGATGTTTTTTTTTAAAAATACACAGTATACGTGGGGCTGTGGGGGCGGGAGGGATGGACACATGAAGTCACTCCCAGCAAAATGACATTTGTTTAAACCATTAACACTTGCCAGATGGAAAACCTCAGACACACCAGATGTACTCATTTATCCTACACCACCAAAGAGTCACATGTAAGTTTACCTGCCTTGCTCTTTTTGTTCTCCTCTCCCACCAATTCTCTATCTCTCAATTGCTCTCTCTCCACCCAGACATCAGAGCTCTCTTATTGATGGGTCCTGTCATCCAGGGACTCTCCTCACTTATACCATGATGAGTTGTAAATCTTTGAACTATTTGCAGCCAATAGCTCTGATGTGATTTGTTCTGACATCTGACACTGACCCAGCAGGGGACTAGGTCAGATAGTGTCACACCACGCACACACCATCCTTACGTTGTGTGGTACTGTGTGAACTGCACAGCATCTATGCTTTGATTTGCATGGTTCCATGGCAACTTACAAAATAAACAGGTTCTGGTATGTAAAGTTTCAGTTAACACAATATTGGCAAAGTAAAGGTTTCATGTTTATCTCTTCAGATAGATAAAGTATCTATGGTTCAATTTTAATCTTTTCTCAATCACATGATTTTCTAATAGATTTCTACCTTATCAGAGGTGATCAGAGATCGTGGTTCAAAACTTGATGCACCAGAAATGTGGGCTAATGCTGCAGCCAATGCATCAACTGCTCCTTTCTCTTCTATCAATCTCTGAGCTGATGGTCGGAAAAAATCAACAGCAGCATAAGAAACGGAAGCCAAAGACCTATGGTTTAAAAAGAGTACATTTTTTTGGTCAAGACAAATGTAAAAAATTAAAGATAAGAGAATGAATGGGAAAAGAAAGAGCAACGTTTTCGTATTTTAATATAACTAAAAATCTGCTGGTAAAACTGGTGATTAAGTTTTCTGATATTTGAACTAGGAGAGCTTAAAGATGAATAGCCTAATACAAAAGAAAAACTTATTCAGCAAGGTCAGAAAGCATACCTGATGGCATCCATGCTTTTAGATTTAACTAAATCCATTGTAGAAGGAACACCTACACGTTTAAAAGTAATTCCCTGAAAATGAAAGAATTACATTAAAGAAAAATGGAAGTCTTTACAATTAATTCCTAAATTAATATAGTTTGTTGAATTTCCATTTCTTGGACTTAAAGATTTCCAAGCCCCAGTAGATCAAAAGACCTGCTTTTTCTAATAAATCATCAATTACAAATTCTAGAAAGAGAAAAAAAATTTAATTGCCCTTAGTGACAATCCTGAAATTTCACTTACAAAATAAAGCTAATTCCGAAACAGGAAAAAAGACATTTATGTCTATCAACTTTTTTTTCTTATTACCCTATCTCGTTTTTACAAAGTAGATGAAACAGTGTTTAAAAACAGACATCATAAAAAAAGGAAAAAATGTAAAATACCACAAAAAAAATCCAGGCCACAAAATATGTATATAATTTCTTAAAGAAATTGGCCATTGTACCATGACTCAATATAATCTTAATAAATACACCAAGACTATGTCACAGTCACCCCTTCACAATGCTGGACTAGGAGATACTGAAATCACAATGTGCTTCTGATTTTAGAATCAAGGGAGAAATTCAAGGGAAAACTGAGAAAGTCAGCTCTTCTGTCTTCACAATAAAAGCTGTATCAAAACAAAGTCTTGCGGCTCATATAAATTTAGCTCTCCACATGCTTCACATCCAAATGCAGCTTAAACTGAGAAAATGGTTATAAGGATCTATTTGTGAGAACAAATATAAAAAGAGTTCTTTTCTAAGGCACCGTTTAGATAATAAGCCTGAAATAATTTAACTCTACTTACTGCTTTTTGTTCCACATATCTTAGTTGACCTCTTTCTCTTGGCTGATAAAAACATATGCAAATCCCTGTCCGGCCAGCTCTACCTGTGCGTCCAGAACGATGAATATAGGACTCAACATCCTAAGAATAAAATAGGCATTTTTCAATACTTTTTTTAAAAATTCTGACCAAAAACATCTGGCAAGTTAAACAGTCATTCCAACATTCAAATAATAATGCTAACAAAAACAAAACTACTACCACCAATAATAATATTATTTCAATCTTGTTGCTCTTTCACCATTCCAAAGAACTTTTATGCTGAAGTTTTAGATTTTTTAATCTACCTCTCTTCGTATGACAGCTTTGTATAATTCCTTTGCATGATTGCATGCTTCAAATCCAAATAACAAAGTTAATCATTTGCTAAGGCATCAGATTCTGAACAATTTAACACTGCATTAATAAAAAAAACCATGGCTAAGAACAAGAACAGATAACATATTTTGCATATCTCAGGCAATATATTGTAAATAAATAAAATGGTAATTTATAAATAAAATCTCATTTCTTACCTGGGGAGGAGAACTTTGAATCACCAGGTCCACCTCAGGAATGTCCAAACCACGAGCAGCCACATTGGTTGCCACCAAAACTTTAAAACTACCTTCCCTGAAGCCTTTCAATGTAATCTCTCTTTGTGACTGTGCAATGTCTCCATGTAAACACTGGGCATTCTATTTGACAAAAGAGAAAAAGTATACAACTCACACTTGCAATTGATAGCACCACAACATCATACAGTCTGTGCTCTTTTTGTTGTTTTTTAATTTTTTTTAAAGTAATCTCTACACCCAATGTAGGGCTTGAACTTACAACCCCAAGATCAGGAATTAGATGCTCCACTGACTGAGCCAGCCAGGTGCCCCAATCTTATTTTCCGGTAATTACAGTGATGCTGCTTATTGTCCAAATATTACAGAAAATAAATATTTAATATGAAATATAAAAGCTTCCCTTAATATCACTTATTCCCTTGATAGTTCATTAACCATTTGGTGAATTGTCCTCCAGATTTAAAAAAAAAAAAAAAAACACAAGACACACAACCCACACATAACACCATATAATATTATGTATATACTTATAAAAATGGGATCATAGCGGGGTGCCTGGGTGGCTTAGTTGGTTAAGCGTCCGACTTTCGCTTAGGTCATGATCTCATGGTTCGTGGGTTCGAGCCCCGCGTCAGGCTCTGTGCTGACTGCCAGCTCAGAGCCTGGAGCCTGTTTCAGTCTGTGACTGGAGTCTGTGACTCCAGTCTCTGACCCTCCCCTGCTCACGCTGTCTCTCTGTCTCCTAGAAATAAATAAACATTAAAAAGAAAAAAAAAATGGGATCATAGCATATATGCACTGTTTTGAAACCTGCTTAATAAACTTATTGCCTTAGCCATTTTTCCACATCTATAGACATACTCTACTTAATTTTTAAAAACTGGATATGATTTCTTCATATGGATGCAGTGTCATTTAATTTAGGAATATCCTACTGATGTTTGGGTCATATCCAAGTTTTCACCTTTCACAATACAAGTTCTATACTATACTATAATCCTTTGTACTTTTATCTCTAGACAACTCATAGAGATGTATTTCAGTAGGAAACATAAATAGAAGTTGAATTTCGGGGTCAAGAATTATCAATATTTGGTGCACCTGAGTGGCTCAGTTGGTTGAGCGTCTGACTCAATTTCAGCTCAGGTCATGATCCCAGGGTCGTTGGATTGAGCCCTGCATCAGATTCTGCACTGAGCATGGAAGCTGCTTAAGAATCTCTCCTCCTTTCCCTCTCCCCATCCCCTCACTAAAAATAAGTAATTTTAAAAATTACAAACATTTAACATTTTAATAGCTATTGTGTGTTATAAAAAGAGGTTGTGCCCATTTACTCTTCAACCTTTAGGAGTCTTTATTTCATCATAACCTGCCTACCTTGTGTATTGTGAATCATTACAATCTTTGTGAATCTAATCATTTAGGCAAAAATGATTTCCCAATTTTTTAATGTACATTTCTATAATATTTAATGAAGTTGAGCCTTCTTTATATGATTTATGTATTATCTTTCATTTGTACTGAAACAATTTTCCTATTATAAACAAATTTCCTAGCATTCTATCCACTATTAAAATTAAAAAGTTTATAAAAGTAACAGTCCATATCTAAACCTTAGTAACTAAGTCTAATGAATTCCTGAGTGATTCACGTACTTGGTGTGCCCAAGATTCTTGAACAATCATGAAGAAAATATCCCTGGGATAAACAGGCTGACAGGCATTTGTAATACAGTATGATGATATATACTATGACCAGGTGTAGGATGCTATAGAAATACTTACAAGGGAAATCTAACTCAATTTTGTTTAAGGGGAAAGCAGCACTGACACTGAGATGTGACAGATAATAAGGAACCAGTAATCAGGTAGAAGGAAAGCAGGAGGCGAGGGAGTTCTGGGCAAAAAAAAGCTTCATTCATAAACAGTGTCTGAGGGATCTACAATATTTGAGTATCGATGAAGCTTCGTGTGTAAAAGGAAAAGTGATGAGAGATGAGGCTGGAAAGGAAAATGAACTGTATCCTGAGAACAATATGAAACAACTGAATGACTGTAAGCAGGACTATCATGAACACATTCGGATTATCATGAACACTGTAGAAGGAACACTTTGATTACAATGTATAGAAAGTATTAGAAAATGGCAAAACAGCAAGGCAAAAGCTAGAGACCTAGGTAGCAGGCTGTTGTAGAATTCAAAAGACATACCAGTGGCCTCACCAAGGCAGTGGCAATCACCATCTATGCACTCAACAAATACTTAGTAACCTAAGAAATGTCAGGCACCAAGGCAAACAAATATAAGACTGCCTGTGTACTCATGATCTTTATACTCTGGTAGAGGAGATGGAAGTTAATCAAATAATGAAACACACAAATAAATTCAGCCAACAATTGTAATAGATGACGCATGGGTCCAAGAGGGAAAGAGCATTTATTAAGAGGGCAATCCGATACTGAAGAAACAGCAGAGAACAGAGGTCTCTGCCCTCATGTGGTCACTGTCTAATGAGAAGCCTGTCAATCAGCAAGATAAATGTTGTAAGGCCAGGATGGCTAAAGGTGATCCCAAGAAACCAAAGAGCAAGATGTCTGCTTATGCCTTCTTTGTGCACACATGCAGAGAGGAACAGGAACCCAGAGGTCCCTGTCAATTTTGCACAATTTCCCAAGAAGTGCTCTGAGGTGGAAGACAATGTCTGGGAGAGAGAAGTATAAAGTGGATGAAATGGCAAAGGCAGATAAAGTGTGCTATGATCAGGAAAAGAAGAATTATGGACCACCTAAGGGAGGTAAGAAAAAGAAGGACCCTAGTGCCCCAAAGGCCACCGTCTAGATTCTTCCTGTTTTGTTCAAAATTCTGCCCCAAGATCAAATGCACAAACCCTGGTATCTCCATTGGAGACATGGCAAAGAAGCTGGGGGAGATGTGGAATAACTTTAGTGACAGTGAAAAGCAGCCTTACAACAATAAGGCAGCAAAGCTGAAGGAAAATGAGAAGGATGATGCTGACTATAAGTCCAAAGGAAAGTCTGATGGCACAAAGAAAGGATCCTAAAGTTGCCAGAAAAAAAGGTGGAAGAGGAAGATGAGGAAGATGAAGAAGATGAAGAGGAGGAGGCGGAGGAGGAATAAAAAAAACTATCTGTTTAAAAAAAAGAGGACAATCTGACCTAGTTTGGAGCAAGGAAGAATTCCCTGAAAGTGGTGCTCTAGATTTTTATCTG